GCTCAGTGTTGATCAAACCTGTATAATAGCAAATGTTAATCAGGAAGAATTTTCACACACTTCACTAAAATGTTAGTGTGTCTGCTGCATAAAAGAGTTTCTATCAAGACAATAATTGTATTTTTGTAGTTATAATTTATTCTTGATGTACAAGAATATAGCTGTAAAAGTAATACACATTGGGAAAATATCGAGGTCTCCTGTAAAGCTCTCTTTTGCAGATTGTCAGGAAGATTTTAAAGGAAATAATGAGAATTCACCTCAAAAAACCTCGTTTCAAAGGAATTTTTCACAAATAATTACAGGGTTTGCTTTTGCTGTGGAATTTTACAAAGCTGTACTTCCAGCTCTCCTCTTGATCAACTGCTGTGTAAATGTATTAAAGATGCTAAGCCTCGGAGCTGTGCATGAGATGGCTGACAAGCCCAGATCGCAGATTTATTTTTGGCAGGCTGACTGAGGTCAGAGGTCAGCTCTGGACATCACATTCTTGACTGGCATGGACATTAGGGCTTATGGCAGCAGCTACCAGTTGTAGAAGTTCGAGGTTGAGGTTAACATACTTACATCAACAAGTCTGAACAACTGGGAACTCCATCCAGGAACTCGCAGCACTTTTCAGTAACGTGGTTTTGAAGAGCTTATGTTAAATTTTCAAAATCCCTTGACACCACTTCAGAATACGAAGACCCGACTGCTGCGTCAATTCAAAACAAAAAAACAAACCTCACCTTTCACACAAGCCTCCCTGCCTTCAATCCTATGATGTTATACATCAACAGACCAGGGCCAGCAACATAGCCCTTTGATTAGTCCATCCCTGTGCCTGCAACAGAAATGAATATCTGAACAGCTTTGAAGGGAGGGGTCAACCTCACCTGGCTTTCGGTTATTGAACTGACTATTGTGACACTATAAATGGGAGAGAGGAGGAGAAGGGAGCTGGTGGAGAGGATTCTTGCGACCCGCAGAGGAAGAAAGAAGCATGATGTCGTCAAGTAGGGTTTCCCCATCACGAAGGTGTGCAAGAAAGGACTGTGGGCCCTGTACAGGGACTGAAGTCGAATCTGTCCATTTGCACTCCTGCGGACTGGACTAGTGCAGTTTCGGAGCCAGGACAGGTTTTAAAAACATGCAATGGGCAACTGCAAGTGGTCACATCAGGGAGGCATAGAGTGACTTTGCTGGACGAGTCCAGCCTTAATGATCGCCTGCCACATGGATCCATTGATAATTGACAATCCATTGACAATTATTTTTAAGACCTTTTAATTGTAAACATTTTATGTTAGAGTGGTACCCTTTGTAAGAATTGTACACATTGTTGCCATAAACTTTATTTTCTTTAAAAAAAATAAACATGCGACATTCACAGTCCAGCCGTCTCCACTGCTGATCAGAAGATCTTCACATTAAACCCCTTAAAAGCACTGACTCATTGACTTCCACATTAACAACTGGGTTTGAAAAATGTATTCACAGGTGCAATTAAATACTAGCGCAGGCAAGATTCATTGTGCTGCTAAAATTAAATGAGTTAAAGAGGACAGATGTTCTTCCATGACCAAGAGCCACTCAGTCAATGAGAACATATTCTATGGACTTTTGGCACCAGTGTAGATAGCATTTTAATGACAATACAATGTTGTAAATGAGAGACAACAGCTGAAAAATACTTTCAGCCTCAAAATGAGTGTTAGTGAGATTGCATTTTTCCCCTACGATCTAAAGCCAGCAACTCACTGGCACTTTAGATGGGGAACTTTTTCATTTTTTGCTAAATATTAAAGCACCATGCACTCACTGCATTAAACAAAAGTGAAGTACAATCACTTCTACACTGTTTGACTTGGGTAAGAAGAGGTGTCTTTCAGAGCTCAGAAGGCGTGTGAGTTCCCCGACCTGCTGTCTTCTCTTACTCCCATTTTCTGATCCTAAAAGATATAAACATACCTAGAAAGACCAGAACTTTCTCTCAAACAATTTTAACTGCGTACCTCATTCGCCACACCTACCCTTTACAAAACTGAGCAGACATCTAGGTAACATTACAACCCTAGCAAGAGAAACTCTGGAATTCAGCAGACTGCAGACTGGCTACAGCATATTGTGAATTGCTTGCAATCTACATTTTATTCTCACATCGACGTCTGAATTTCATATTGATGAGCATTTGTTTCCCCAAGACTGTATCCACTTATCCAATTTCCCACCACTTCTTCCAATTCCAGGTTGAGAGGGAGCTGGTGTCTATCCCAGGAAGCAAAAGGCGCAAGGCGAGATAATCCCAGACATCGCAAGGCGGATACACAGACAAACACAGAAGTGTACACACTCACATCAAGGGTCAGTTTTGCCAGGATAAACCTACCAGCATGTTTCTGGACTGTTGGAGGAAACTGGAATACCTGGAGGACACCTGCATGAACATGAACATACAGACTCCACACAGATAGTGCCTGAGGTTTTGAAACCAAGGCCCCAGCACTGCAATGCTACCCAATGCACCACAGTGCAGCCCTCCAAAGCTGCAGCACACCACAGGTGTATTTTGTTTCCTGTCATCGATCGATAAGGGCATATGAACATGGTATAAATGACTGAAAAAGGAAATCCTCTTCTAAAGCTGCCATATAAATTCACCACCTTGCTTCTCTGACAGAGAGGACTGTGAGGGGCTCAGGGGTGTTTCTAACAGCAACATGTGACAATGACATAGACCACATGAAGAAACTCCTAAGCAACACACAAAAAATTTCAACAAAGGAACTCCACCAGTTGCAATCTCTGCACAAAGTGTGCCAGGCTTAAATTTTCTGCCAATAACCACTTTTCAATTCTTTAAATCCAAGGCACGCTTCTGTCAGTAGGTGTGTTAACGTACAGTGTTACACTACAGTGCCCTTCTGCAGTGCAATACAGTGTTCTACAGCTCCCTAAACTCTGCTAATAACAACACAAGATTCAATAAAACCAAAAACTACAATGTTCTGCACTCTTGGACAGATACACAGCAAATCCTGTCCAGCCCTACACATTTTCAAGCACGCTCTCCAAATCGACATGGGATTAATAAAGTCATACAAATGGCAAACTTGGGGCTGATTTATTAATCTCATTTAGGCGTGCTGAGGTTTCTGTGAACAGCAATGCGCATTAATCAAACCTGAGTCCATGGCAAACCTCAAAGCTCACAAACATTAAAAATGGAGATAAATGAAACCAAGAGCATATTCATAGATCCTGGCTTCATCAAAATGATCACCTTCCAAACTAGAATTCTCCCACAGAAAGTCCATGCTTATGCAAAAACCACACGACTACCTACAGCAGACCAAAAGATAAGCATTCGGTGCAGGTGTTTGTGTTTTATCTCAATTTTTTTATTGGTGTTTTATCTCAATTCTGTCACTAGACTTAGCCACAGGCATCTCTAGTGCTAAAGAGCTCCAGCTTCCTATTTTTATCATCCGGCCTCTGATCCTAACTATTTCACTGAACTTTAGGACCTCTAAAAACAGATCTTTATTTACCACTTAACCTAATTATAAAGTACCTCCAAAACCTGCAGGACTGGATCCGTCCATGTGTGCTACTCCCATTCATAAGACAAGGTTATGAATTGTCATATGCAACCTAAGTAGAGGGGACTCACCTTATTCTCCTTCAATGACAAGCCAACACAGTCAGCCAGCAGGAGAATGTGAATAAGTGTCTCGCTGGCTCCACAAACAACTTTAAAAAGACCACGATGCTCAAGGCTGCTTGCCCAACGACCTCTCATGTCGTAAAATTACAACAACACCATTAACTTCATCCACAGCCCCATTTTTAAAAGCTGGGCAGAATAGAAACTTCCAGAGCTGGTACATCAGAGTCCAGAACTGCCAGCCAAGGAAGGCTCTGGTAGGAGCTTAATTAGCAACACCTGATCTTCGTTTAGCTCATCCTGCAGGCTAGGGTCTCAGGTGTGACCGATGAAGCTCACAGTAATGCCTGACATTCCATTTATTTTATTTAAGTGTGAGCCATTAAGCCTTGGGAATTGGCCTGCAGTCCCAGAGTTCTGAAGTGATCTTAGCCAAGATCCTCCCACACATTTCTATTGTAAATAGTGTCCAATTCTTAATAAAGTGGCTGTCAGTGCCACAACTCAGAACGAAGAGAGATGCGGGTCTGCAGTTGAGATATAGGATATAGCATCCATATACAAGCATTTTTCCCTCTTTAAAATGTGTCCTACTATGAAATACTGAACACGAATTACATTTAGCACTGAACTGAAAGTATATTTAAAACGGGTTACGTGCCACAAATCTTAAAGGTATCATCAGTAAGCGGGGTAAATACTACAATATATACCAGCATACAGTTGTCGAATGTATCCTTTTGCGCTAGTACTAGTAGCCGGTTTTTAATAATACTGTACGTGAGGGGGATTTTAGAGAGAGCTAGGGCTGTTCGATAACCGCACGAAGACGCAGTGCGAGTCTGAGGGGTGTTCACAATATTAACTAAAACCCTGTCTTGAATCTCAGTCCAATTAAACAGGACTGCGTCCAGCGCAGGCTGGCCTTGCGACACCGGAGAAGAACGGCCACTGACCCCTGACTTGGCTGTAGCAAAGTCCGTATTATTACATGTTCCACTCTGTTGCATAGCCGTTCGGTCAACAGGCCCTCATGGCAACAACTCGGTACAGGATCAACTTGAGACAGAAAAGGCAAAACACTCAGAGCGAGATCCATGCAATATCTTAACCACAGAGCATGAAATTAGCACAAGTTTCCAAATGCAGACTATAATTAATACAACTAGACCGTGTTGTTAGTTTAAAAAATCCAAATAAAAACTAATAATGAGCATAACCATAAAGGGAATAAAACTGGGTTATGATAGGGAAACGATTAATCACTCGCACTGACAAGAGGACAAGTATATTTGATTTATTGAAGAAGCGTATAAAAATGCGAACAGTTCACTTAGTGATAAAAACTCACCTGGCTTGACGGTCTTCAGACGAATCGGCTCCCGAAAGTGGCGGATAACTGCAAGCGTGTCCCTGTTCGTGAGTCCGCTCACCGGGGTTCCGTTCACCTCCAGCAGCACGTCCCCGGGGCTCGGCAGCTTCCCGGAGTGACAGACAACCGCCTCCAGCTTCACCTGGCCCAGGTGGGGGAACTCGCCGAGCTCCGCTCCCCCCAGGACCTCCACCACCGAGCTGAACTCACCGGCGCTGCCCCAGGACACCGCGCACTCCTGAACTTTGCTGGACCAGTGTTTCTTCTTCCTCAATGTTTTGGACATGTTGTTTTACTCCCCGTTAAAAGCTTTCAAAAAGCAAAGTCGCGTTTTGTTTGTTTACTTGATTTTCTAGTTCCCTACGACACGCTTAAACAAAAGATTAGAATTGCATTATGTTGATTGCGAAACGAAGTAAGCCTCCTGTTGTCTCTTAATTCCATTCCTCCAATAGTGAAGATTTTAATATTTATTTTATTTATATAATTTTAGCTACGGATAATCATCTGTGCTCCGACCGTCACTCATTGTAAATAAAATGCTATCATTCAAGCTTGTGGCTCGCTGAAGCAGCACGTAAATAATCCAGCCTTCCCATTTAAAATTTCAAATTGCAATGAAACAAATTAAAATAATATTATGCTGCCAGAAGATCATTATTTTCAATCAGTCGTGCATGTCCGATCCTGTCTATATTGATCTCCAGCGATGCTTCTCACGGCGTTGTGTATATATTCTTAGACATAAAAAAAAACAATGAATAAATGCAAATAGCTGATTTCTGTACTCCAATGAGCAAATGTCCTATCCAAAGAAGGAATTAACAATCGATCGGCTCAGTTTCTTGTCGCTGTTTACAAGGTAGTCACTGGCCTCAACCTGATCAAACGATCTGATTAATGAATCGGACTGCTGTCACTACGCCAAGTCCACGCAATTTCTTTAACAGTTTCGCCGGAATTCCAAAAGCACCTGCAAACTATATCAGCTGGAGGTGTAGCAGGGGCATAGGAAGAAAACACTTCCAACTTCAAACTGAGCTTCACGTTATTATTGCCCCGCGCCTACAACAAACCTTCCGTCACTCGCGTCCAACGCACCTGTTCGTTTTTAACTTGGCAGCAGCCGCATTCCTGTGAAATGGGCACGGCCGGCGCAGGCAGTGCTGTTGTGTGTAATACTCGGAATGCCCGTGTGTGTGTTTTTTTCCGGAGGATTGTTCTCAATCTGTCCCACAATCCTGCTGAGCACTTTCCACCGTGGCGACCGCACCGCCGCGCATCTGCCTCTTCCAGCAAGCGGCTCCGGGTTCGCTAGCTCAGTCACAGCGCCGGCAGCCTCCCTCCCACGAGCCCGGAGTGGCAAATGATTCCAGAACTTTTTTAGTCATTTTCACCTTGTTAGTAGTGCTGGGGTGGGCAAGGCGCGGTTGACTGCTGTTGTTTCGAACCAATCGCGGAGAAGGATGGGGAGTAAAAACACTGGGGGCCAGCCAATGCTAAAAACAGCTGGGCGGGTCTTCCGAGTTGTTACCCTGTAACACAGAGAGATAGCACGGCTAACCCTTTGAGTGCCGACCGTGCACTTCGATCCTCATGCTATTATTATCATGCTCATCACAGGCGAACACGGTGCTGCTCACCGAGTACAAGGACCGTATCGTGTTCCCTCTATCACCCTGCACACATTTCTATCCAGACTCTTTTTAAGAGGAGATCAGTCTGGTACAACGTCAAAATGAGATTCACCGGCAGGGGAATTTGAGCAAATATTTGGTCACTGGTCACCGCGATAATTTGCTAATGTTCCAGAAATTGTCTCACTTGTTAATACTACTCCGGTACTAATATTTGTAAAATCCGCGTTACCTGTCAGTCCTTACCTTTCCCCTAAAATTAAAAGGACACTTCGCAGCGACTAGGTTACTGTGTTCTCTCTCACCCCACGCAACACTTTTAAAAAATTCTACTCGACTACACAGTATAGGTTTAAGTTAGCAAAACGTTAAAAGATCGCACCTTGAGAAGACAGGACAGCAGAAGAAATACGACGTTCTGCACCACAGGTGAATGGCGAGCCAAGAACCGGAGGCTTTTCAGTGCTTTTTTGTATTAAACCGCAGGAGGAAGATCGTCTTCCAGACACCTACCACGTTTAATAAATGCGCTGTTGTCCGCAATTCCACCGACTCTCAGCGGAGTCCTTGTTATTCAGTTACTACACACTGTTAGACAGCAATACTAACACTGTTGCCTTAGTCCCGCATCAGGATACCTAAGGAAGTCCTGTACTTTGCGCCCCGAAGCGTCCCATTATTTCAACAAGAGAATTTGCGTAGACCTCATCAGTACAGACCTAACTGGACGCTTACGCTATTGCTAGCACTGCGTATTTCAAAAGCACGTATAACCCCAGTTTTCGACAAAGAAAACTCATCATAATTCATAACAGCAATGCAAATGCCTCAAATTCCTGTTTTCGAAATATATTTTTTTATAATCAGTACAGTTTACAGGCGGGGAAATGGAAATAATGTAAATGTGTTATCTGCTAATGCGAAGGTATCGTAGTGTCTCGAGCCTGCCATCTTGTGGTGAGGAACAGCAATGGCAGCCTGATGTTCATAACCTCTAACACTTCACGAAGTACGAAGGACATTTGTCATTACATTACTCAAGGTCGACATCATCATAATATCCATCTTTCAAACAATGCACAGCATTACTGCAAAAATTAAAATATACAAATACTTAACTTGATTACGATTTTAGCTCTTTGGATTAACAGCAGCCGCAATACAGCAGTCCTACACAGCTGGGTACACTAGCCTCTATCATGTGGTGACGCTCTTTTCTGGACATTACACATATGGAGAGGAGCACTGCCAGTTTATATAACGCTAATGCCAAGACTGGATGGCCCTGGTCCACTGCAGCAATTGTAGTCTTCAACCTGTTGTGTTACTTATTTTGAATTTAATTTGGTGTAAATCTTGTGTCAATTCATTTTTTTATATATCATTCTAAGTCTTTCTTACCTTCTGATTACCTACTGTATATATCCATTCATACACCGTTGTCCCGCTGTCTACTCATTCAGGCATGTCTGTAGCACCAGATTCCCCATATCTTTAAAAAAACATAAGGCCTCTGACCTGAACCCTGAACCCGAGACAGAGGACACAGGAAGCCAACAGCTCCTCCACTGTCCACCTGAGCTCTGGCAGCGGGGATCAGAGTGGTGGAGCGTGTTAGCATGTCCCAATGCCATTGTCCATTAAGCCCTCTGCCGCATGGTGTTCTGCCCCATTAGGCATCACAGTCGCACACTGTCAAAGAGCTAGGACGAAATCCAGCTCAAGGGCCAAGTGACAAAAGTCTAAAACTGATTAATTTGATCTACATACAGACAGCTAAAGGCAGAGGGAAGTCAAAAGGCTTGTGACGGAGTCGAGGACTTTCCTTTTTCCACACATTGTACCGTTCATTTGTAGAAAATAATATGTAGCGGGCTAGAAAACATGATCAAAATGCACCAGTTTTGGATGATATTCCCTTCATTGGCTTTGTCAGTTCCTCCCGCCTTGTGCCTGTTGCTTGCCCGGATAGGCTCTGGCTCCCCAACGACCCCTACCTGGAAGAAGAAAATGCAAAAATGGGTGGCTTTGTCCATATCAGGTATCCCGTCAGGCTCATAGCCCCCCTTGTAATAAGGATTGGATGCTGGAGTAAAAAAAATGTAAAACAGCAAAATAACTATACAAAAAGCCAGCAGCCATATCACCCTGCAAATCACAACTGGCAACCCACTGAAACTAAGCAGGTGTGAGCCTGGTCAGTACCTGGATGGGAGACCTCCTGGGAAAAACTAGGGTTGCTGCTGGAAGAGGTGTTAGTGGGGCCAGCAGGGGGTGCTCATCCTGCAGCCTATGTGGGTCCTAATGCCCCAGTATAGTGATGGGGACACTATACTGTAAAAAGGCGCCGACCTTTGGATGAGATGTAAAACCGAGGTCCTGACTCTCTGTGGTCATTAAAAATCCCAGGGCGTTTCTTGAAAAGAGTAGGGGTGTAACCCCGGCATCCTGGCCAAATTTCCCTATTGGCCCTTACCAATCACGGCCTCCTAATAATCCCCATCTATGAATTGGCTACATTACTCTGCTCTCCTCCCCACTAATAGCTGATGTGTGGTGAGCATTCTGGCGCCCAGAATGGCTGCCGTTGCATCATCCAGGTGGATGCTGCACATTGGTGGTGGTGGAGGGGAGTCCCCATTACCTGTAAAGCGCTTTGAGTGGAGTGTCCAGAAAAGCGCTATATAAGTGTAAGTAATTATTATTATAAAAAGAATATCACCGCTTTATTACAGGGCATGCACATTTCCAATGGCTGTGCTTCGAACCTCTCAGATTCGTCAGTCAAAGCTATACTACATGAGCAATTTGAATTACCTGCAGCTTAGCATTTGACTGGAAATTTGCATGGCAGAACCAACCAGAATCAAAGCCTGTCTTGACAAAAAAAAAGTTAAGAAAAAAAAAAGTCAAACCGCACGGTCCTATAAATTAAAAAGACACTAAAGTTACAGCATCAAGCTTTAATGTGTGCCAGGCGGCTGAAGGTGAAGCTGATTTCTTTTCTGAAGCTCATTCAGATCAAACCTGATCCCCATTTAGGACTGTTAAATGGAATCAATGACATTGCTAAAATTGAATGCATTTATTCAGTCAGCTTTTTCTACCTCTGCACTCAGTCCTGGTTCAATAGCTGGTGATCACGAGGTTTGTACCCCTGCCAGCTAACACTGGACCTAATCTGAAAAGGTTAATTGATATTTTAATTCGTCTCAGCCTTAATGTCTTCTTGTCAAGTTGGAGAGGACTTTTCTTCAATTTGTGGTTCAGTGGGATTTGCTGGACTTACAAATGTGACAGGACTGTGGCTGCAATGTTTTCACCCAAATGTAAAAAGAAGTCACTCGGAGCACATATTCCACTGAATATGCTTGGCTTGTGTTAAAGGAATCTCAGTTCTAGAAAAATGACAATGTCTTGGACATTTGGGATACCACCAGACCTTCCCAGTCTTGGTTGGGGGCTGTCTATTACTTTTTACTGCCGCCGATCTCTCAGTAATTTAACAAAATTCTTCATTGCTATGATCGTTAGCTTAATTATACATTCCTGCTACTAAGAAGGTGTAGATTCCAGGCTAGATTAAAATATGAAGGGTGCTTTGAAATCTCTAACCACAACAACTTGAGAACAATGAAAAACATGTCATTACACAAATGAGTAGTTCAGTTAAATATCCAATTAAGTCACCGAGATCAAGCTGGAATGAAAAGAAGAGTGAAGGCTTTTGGCGTCACAGGGAACACAACTGGCCAAGCCTGGTATACTTTCTCTCTCTCATCTAGACCAGTTCTCAAAGGCCACTGATCTCATTATTGAATTGAAGTTGTCAGCTGCTAATCGAAAAGCAGCTACACCCCCTACACCCCCTCAAGGACTGAATAGGCAGCTGTAGTCCTGAAGAACCTAAGAGCATTCTGGTTTTCATTCCACCACAGATCTTAATTGCTTCATTGAAAACATTATTTGCATACAAAGTCCAATCGCTTGTTTTATTAGGTCTCTATCAATTACTAACTGAAAACTACCTACCCAATCCTGCATGGATCCCACCTTCAGAGATCTAGACCACGTTCCTTACTTACAGTACTAGAGAGCACCAGTCAAGCCATTGTCATCTCTTATATAACCCGTCCTGCATAACACAAACACACAAGAAAGGTTACAAGAGAAAGGAGGCTGTTCAGCCCATCTAGCTAGTTTGGGAGTAGAGCAATAAATTGGTCCACTTAACAAGTCAGGAGATTAAGGGCACAAGTCGAAAGACAATCAGAAGAGCCTCAGCCCACCAAAGCAGTGCTCTACAGACTTCAAACACATGTAATTACTGATCAATTAAGCACATTACATATTCAATTAAGTAGTGCTTGAAGACTGAAGTGTGTTCGGGTGTTAATTCAAATGCATTCATTTCCAAGGTACTTAAGGTATCAAATCACTTTAACTGGTCACAACATTGTTGTTCTAAGTCTTTCGAAAGTGGTAATTTGAAGAGGTGAAAAACCATGGCCCAGCAGGTCTTACAGGGAAATCACACTTCACAATAAGCACGTAAAAACAATTGTAATTAAGACCAATAACTGGTGGGATTAAATCATCGGGAGCTCAGGTAGAATGACGAACAGGGGTGCGTTTAGCACACCTTATAATCTTGATAAAAGTAAACCAGTCATAGACTTTATGTTTCTGTTCACTGTAATCTGGATCATTTTCGGTCTGTTTCAGAAAATGTCACTGCTGTGTTCTATTTATCCAGATTACAAGTATTGCAATTACGAAAGCCAATTTTTGGAGCAGTTCTTAACTGTTGATCAGGCCTGACAAAGATCCAAAAAAGAAACAGAAAAATTAGGTACATTTCTACTACACAGTATTTTTTGTTAATCTGATAACATAAAAAGCAGGCAATTTGCATTCAAGGTTCTTGCACAGATAATACAAATATTTTTTTAATTATATGTATGAGATATGTGCAAAGGTTTTGGACTTTGTTTTCCTCATCCCTTTGATGTCCAGCAGGTCTAAAACAACCCCCTAAGCATGAATACACATGCTTAAGTTTGTTCCAATTAGTTCTATTTTTCTCTTTCTCTTCTGCAACACATTTCAAATCACTTGTCCATTCACAGCTCAAGTCATATATTGATTGTTGGTTACATCTGATGTAGACTGATAGGCCCACCTCTTTCTTTCAAGAGACCTGCCAAACCTGCTGGACTTTCCCACTGAGGGACAGACTGTCTAAATCCATTGTTTCTCCTTGGCATGATTTTGTTTTTCCCAACCAGCATTTTAAGAAACTGAATTCTGCAAGGATGTGGGTTCTCTAAGACCTGCTGCTTTATTTCAATTATTTTAATCCAGCATGTTAAAATAAGGCAGGTGCTGTTTTTTTTTCGGTTCAGGACAGCACTTCTGCATCAAGATGTTCTAGTTCTATCATGGCCCAGCTCTACTGAAAGGTAGCAATGACACATCTGTCAGCAGTGACAACGGGTTACATGATGCTCATTGCTCTGCAGGATTTTACACCTCTGCCTTAAAACCCATTGATCTCCCTTGGCTACCAGCTCCTGTCAGAGCCCCTGTTCCCTCTGGGCTTGATTTTATTCCTGTCTTCATCACTGTCACTGATGTCTCACGACATGTGACATCTCCTCATCGATCAGCAAGATGAGATCTGGACTCTTCTCCCTGGACTGCCATCCCTGTTCCCTGACTGATCGCTCCTGGAACGATTCCTTACTCAAACACACAGGCCCCAAGTTCTAAAAATAAACCAGGATCAAAAAAACCTCTTTGCAACCTGTCTTGAATAAACAGCCATCACTCACTTCTGAATGGCAAAAGGCTGCGCCTCGAGCTCTCTGATCTAGGGGCTGAGTTACCTGAGTTACAAAGTCAAAGGACAGGAAGCCATCTGGTTCAGTCTGAATAGAAGAACACAATATGATACACATTTTTGGGGGATTGGCCCAGAGGACAGGATAGAAGTTGCTGACAGTTTTCAATACTGTTGAATTATCACAAATTACAGTGAATCATGCAGAAAAGCCAGTACAGACGTCTAAAATGAAGCATACACACAGAGGGATGTTGCATGCCATATGTATTATGCAAACAGAATCTTGCATGCGTTTTAAAAATGAGCTAGAAATGAAAATGTTGCACTGAAAGGCTTAGCAAAGTAGGGACATGAGGGAATGTTGAAGGCATACAGCCTTACAAAACAAACCATGTGAACCAAAGAACCTTTTAGAATCGGAATGAGTAAATTAGTAATCAGACGTCAGGGTTTGTTTAGTTGATCTCAGTATTCTAACAAAACCAGTTGTATTTCATAGTATTTCACTTCCTTAAATGCCAGACAAGATATGTTAGACCTCTGCTTTGAAATTAAACCTTACTTTCTGACTTGGACAGGCTCCACTGTGTTAATAACGTAGGCTTGCATGAAATTAAATTGTAATAACATGAAAGCCTCGTACACATCAAGCTATGATCAATTTATAATGGATCCTGCAGAGAGTGGTATTTGCACGTCAGGTGTCATTTATCAAAAAGGAAATGAAGCTTCACTGTTTGTGATTCTTTTCACGCATCGATGCGTTTTAAAAATGAGCTAGAAATGAAAATGTTGCACTGAAAGGCTAGGCAAAGTAGGGACATGAGGGAATGTTGAAGTATGTTTTTTTTTCTGCAAAAGGCACGTGCTCATGTGTGCATTTATGTGAAGAACGCACATAAGGTTACTCTCTGCTATTGTACGTTCATAAATGTGCAAGGCAGTCTGCGGGGATTTTACACATTTCTCTCGATTGCAGGAGGACTGGAAAATAATCTCATTTTAATCATCGTCTTCCTAAGCAGTGCACGACTAGAATGTTAATACCATCACAGCACTGGTCTGCTGCACTGGCAGCACAGTGGAGTACAGTATACCTCAACTGTAAGGTTCGGCCGTACTGACACATTATGACTAAAATGACACAAGTACAGGCTGGGCTTATGAGATGGACACTTCTACAGTACATAAGGTGGAATTGCTTTCATTTTTAAAATCTTTCAAAGCAAAGATGCCTTCAATGAAACAAAAATGGGACACACAATTACATATAACTACACTGATCACGGGAAATGTTAAGATGTTTTCCTATCGGAGTATGAAAATATTGCGAAACTACTATAAAGGAGGACGTTACCTTTTCTAAAGTGTTTGTTTCAAACTGCAACAATTAAGACAAATCTCTCCTGCCACCCACATTTGACCAAATACTGTTCATGAGAACAACATAGCTCTAAAAATCAGGCCCATGTTAATCCATGCTTCCCCAACCAAGTCACCTCACAAGAACAGCTGTGAACACCTACCTAAATATGTGCTAATTTGCACCACACATGCATTCGAATACACGTAAAGCATACTGAGGAATACATTGGCACATTGCAAATACTTGAAACACTCATTACAACTGAACTAAACAAGAATAAATAATTTAAATCGCAGGCTGTTTAAGCTGGTTTCAAGCTTTCAAAAATAATAAACGCCCTTGCATGGTCTCAGAAGAGAGAGTCATGCCAAGTTGGCTGGAGATATAAATAATTCATTTGTCAATAGACTTATCATTAGCATGCAGAGGTAGGCTCTTTGCTCTGATTCTGCAAATGACTCACTGAAGCCACACAAGGCGCACAGACTCTTTATTCTGTAATAGTAACAGGGAAGTGCAATGTAATCCAAATCATTTAAAAGAACTTCTTTGGCACAGAATAGCTATTATTGCCTTAAAATCAATAAATGTTAAATCCTTACTCCCACTTTCCTCTTTATCGTCCATGTTCTCACTTACTGGGCTGTATGAGCTTGCAACACCTTTATTAAACAGGAGGAGCATGCTGGGCAAACCACAAACAATCATGGCAACTGCAAAGATAAAGAATTAAGATCCTTAATGTATTTATAACAGAAAATCACAACTTTAATGAGTTAAGAAGAAAGAAATTCCCTGACAAAGATCAGATCAATGCAAAGCTTTCCAAAGTCATTAATAAAAGCCTATATTTTTTATTAAAGCGTCTATTCCAGAAAAAATATTTTTCTGTATTTGAAATATAACAGCCTCCTAGTACAGTGTTGCAGATTGCAAATGTACTGAAAACGCCCATGCTGAATAATCAGTGATGATATTTGTTATTTATTGTTCCATGGACAAGATACAGCTCAAGAAACAATGTACTTTACACATGCTTTACATAATGTACACTTAATTGACAATTAAAAATACATTTTACAAAGAAAATTGAAACATTACAGCTACAGGCAGCAGTTTATGAATATTGCCAAAACAAAGCATAAACTTTGGTATAAATGCAATCAACAGAGGAGAATAATAAGAGTAAGAAGATAAGAAGTGTCATCGGCCTTTTAGATTTCTCTCCATGTGTAATCGACAAAATGCTTGTCCTTGAGACCCTTTTATGGTCTTTTGAAGATGCCTTAAATGATCTATAATGAGAAAGATAAAAACGCACAGTATTTCGAAGACCAATACCTAGAATCTCTATGTTTAGAGTCTCAAAACAAGGCAGGTCCCCTAATGAATCCCTTACAAGTTACAGCTACTGCTGTATGACAAAAGTGCAGGATCTAATCCTCTTGCAAATGCAGTTCAGGAGAGGATGTAAATTAAACACAGAAGAAGCCGAATGCCACAGCACTGCTATTGTTCAATGCGTTTTATAGGACTGAGCTGTGGAAAAGCATCTTTAGAAAACTACACCTTAAAATCTGTTAAATATGATCACCATCCCACAAGGTTTCATGAAATAGCAATGACAATTGTTTGGTACACAATACATAGAAGGCAAATTGATCTAAGTACCATAATATTAATATACAGCCTACTGTAATCTTTATACAATATAAGGGAAAACATTTAAGGCCAAATGTGTGCAATTTCAATGTGCAATTTCAGCTAACTTTGCATTAGGTTAATTTGTGTACCGCATGAATGGAAAATTGAGGTCTCCAACCAACATGCTATAAAAACTGTTATGAGGTTTTTACTCAGTGCACTCAGTGCCTCACTTAGCACTGAGAAATGGAACAAAATCTTTCAAGGATAAAACTGCAAAATGACCAAAAATCTAAAGAACGAAATGGCAGATTTAAAACAGTTAGAAACTGTTAAAAAGAGATATTTAACTGAATCTATACATACTTCCAAAATATTAATAATATCCACCGCTTTCAAAAAGAACAGTGGCTAAATAAATCTTTACACCATTTCATTCTCACATGGTTTCGAAAGGTTTGTAAAATAGGAAAGGTCCAATTCTTTATGATTTCATGTCTTTAAAAAAGTTATCTTATTAAACCAACCACTTTCAAAACCTAGAAAAACTGCAGGTGCTTTAAGGAATTGTGTCAAATCATAGCTTGATCACAGTTTCAATGCGTCAGGAGTTAAAATAAAGGGCTTTCTTCCCCCCCATGAAAAAAGTGCAAATTCATATTACTTAATGGAATACAAGCCTGATTCACTTAAATTCCCAATTATTTCATGAGCTAGCACCTCACAAATATGGTTTTCAAGCTCTTATATGGATAGAAAAAAACGGTTACAAAGAACTCATCCAACATAATGGAATAAATATAAAATAATCAAATACTTCTGTTTCCAAATGATCGTCTCCAACGGGGACATCTTTGAGATCAATCCGAAAATATTTCACACCAGTACTTTGAACTGGATCCTTTAAATTGAAAACAATGGAATGGTTTTCACAGTACAGCCTTACACACTGCAGTATGGTATACCAAATTCAGTACCCCAGACTCACAACAGGTCATATTCCCAAGTGAAAGACAAAACCAAATAATTGCTTCGGTGCTAGAAAACATTTGCATCAGGCAGCTCTTTTTGGAGACAAATAAACCATGAATACCCTGAAGCAAGAAACAAAAGGCTAGCCAAAAAGAGAGAGGTTTGGGCAAAGATTTTCACTCCTTTATCAGCCAATACAGGAGTGAGCTGCAGAAAATAGTTGGCTTTTTAATCTGTTAACTTTCTGACCTAAGTTTTCAGAACAATTCACTTTGATGTGACCAAGCAACCTTCTCGAAGAACAATTCCACGACTACTTGTTAAGGTCCTGCCTTTGTCTTAGGAAAGCTCATTTATAATGGCTGATATAACAACAGTTAGTAAATGTGCAATACACCATTTTCTTTGAATTCTCTTAAAAACACTGAATACTACAGTAACTGTACAATGTGTATTTAACATGGTAGAAAAAGTATTTACAGTACAATTAACACTTGGAATAAGCGAAACAGGAAAAAAATGATGAGACTATATCTGCTCTGGGGCAGTAATTTGCAGCAGGGAGTTAGCCAGTGAAGTGAAAAGGAATCCAGAATGGAATGCTGTTTGCATGCAATAAAAAAATGCAAGATACCAAGACTGTCGAAGATCTGAAAAGAAGCGAGCTTCGGTTTCTGCTAAACTGGCATCTGGTGGTAGTTTATGCTTTCACAATTAGTGGTCCCATAGTAATTACTACCTACAGCTCAAGAAAATTAATGCTTTTTCTCTTTAAGTAACAGCATGAAAACAAAGGCAAAGCAGGATCTTCCACATTCTTGCAATTCCGGTGTCCAAGGAGTGTGAGAAGCAGGTTCACTGTTTGGGTCTTGAATAAATAACATTAACTTTTACACCTGGAGTGCCCATGTACATTCATCGCAGTGCACACCTCCTGCAAAGAGAACAGACGATGCAGAATGCACTCACTGATCCTAGTCAGTCTTGGGAGTGCTGTTAGAAATGAACAAATAAGAGCACAACAATAGACAAAGCTCATATCTGAAATGTAAACATACACATAGGCATTTTTGGCAGATATTAATGTCTCTTTCGAGGTAGTGGGTAAAAAGGCAAAAAAAAAGACATAACAAATGTTCTGCGTGCTGGAGATCCCCGTGCTCTAGGTAGTGGCCTTGTATTCCTGTATGTTAGGAGTCCTGTGGGAGGCAGTACTGTGCTCCTGTGAGTGTGAGATGTGGTTTGTGGGGTCTGTGGAGGGGCTCTTCGTCACGCCCACCCCCTCTTTGTCCCTGCTCTCCCGCTGTCCTCTAGGATTGTCCTGCATGGTGACCGACTGCTGTGGCAAATCTACACGAGGCAGGAGAGATGCGTCTTCACTCAGTCCCCAGTAAGGCCTTGGCTGGGTGTCTGGAGACCAACAGAACCGGGATTATAGACAATTCTACATCTTAACACAGCCAAGACAAAAGGATATTAGTTGAGCAGAATCAAATAGTGTTTTTTCTTAAACAATCCCTCAGAATCTTAAGGTGCAGATCCTTAGCCACAGAGCCACCGCCCCGCCCCGCCCCCCAAGATATCTTGTGCTATTTATTTGAAAACCTTAAATATAACTTCTTATTTGCTACTTCTGAAACAAAATCTACTTGTTTACTGCTCATCAGAGCCACATACTGCAAAACTCCCAATCTGCATAGAGGACAGCAACAGACAGATCTGTAATTTGAAATAAAGAGGCTTTTACTATACAAATGGAACTGAACGGCATTGTGACTCTGCGTCAGACTTCTGACATGTCAAGCTGAGTTCGACATGCAAGCAACATGTTAGACATTGAATTCTGGTCTAAAACACCCAGAGAGAACTATCCCACATCGGTCCCTGTTCTTTCTGGAGGCATGTGTGTATGTGAAGCCAGCCTTTTGGTAATGAACTCAAAAATAATACCTGCAACATCTCCCACTTACCATGACCACATCCTACAAGCCTCGGATTCAGAACATTAATAGCTACCTCACCATTTTCTGATAAACTGATGAATAAGGAGGGTGAGATAAAAGCGATCATCTGGGGACGGAGAGGCAGGAATATTTCCATGTGGACCCAGCTATCCCAGAGTTAACTTGATTTTAACTGGGGAACAATGAGAGCAAGACAGTGAAGAGAGTTACAAACACAGAGACTGACCACTGGCATGGAGCTGGGGCGGGTTCTTGATGCTGTGTCTCTTGTCATGGCTGGTGACAAACACGGAGGTGTCGGGGTGGCTGATGAGGCTCTCCAGTGCTGTGTCCTCATGCTGAGCATGCCTGGGATATGGGTCTTTGGGAAGCTGCACCATGATGTTGGACAGGGTCTTATCCAGAGGGTCATCTTCAGCCAGATAGGCATAGGGACAGTACTCACGGGTCCGAGAGTAGATGTTGGCATTGTCATAGCAGTCAGAGCAGATGACTAAAGGCCCAGTGCCTCCTGTGTGAAGATGAAGATACAGTTATATGTTGGCAAGTAAAACCTTAATTGGTCCTTGTTGACATTGCAAGTAGTCAAATGGGAAATGTTATGCAGAAAAAGTGATCTGCTGTTTAAATCAGTCTGCAAGCAATAATCTTCCCCTTTTCCATTTCATTGATAAAATAACCTGACGCTTTTTCTTCATTTCTGTTAATTATTTCCAGGTTTTAGGATTAATTACATTGGGGATTTAACAACTTATATAAACAGATATATTTAGCAAAACAAATACAGACTTTCACTATATAAGTTGACATACAAATATGGTTCAGCGCCCTTTAAACATTAATACCAGACTAAACCTTCCGAAAATATTTATTTTAGATCTTACTTTGCGCATTAAAGTTATTTCGCACAACAATTACAACAGAAAGGTAATTGTCCATTTCACTTCCAAGAAGCTGACCAAACATAGTACTGGTAACAAGTTTCACCCACAGTACAAGCGGCAAAGCTGGGAAGATCCAACACTTGAGGAAACACTGTTCAGAAGGTTCTCCCAGTATAGGATGTGGCTACATGGCTGTAGTTTCATGCACAGTGTAAGCAATCAAAGGCAAGTGCTTTTAAAGAAAATGGAAAGCAGCATAACACACAGAGGAAGCCCTCTAATAAGCGTCAATTGCAGACAACTCTGCAAAGTGCAGCCCCCACCTGTGGGTGCCCCTGCCAGGCCCTCCCTGGGCTCTCCAGGGTGGAAAGTACTCCTCCCGGTGAAGAGAGAGCCCACCCTGTTCTGCAGCAGGGCATTGATGTCCGTCTCCACCTCACTCCCCGAGTCCATGTAGCACACACCTGCTAAACACAACACTCATCATCTCAAGGCCACAGGGAAAAAGGAACACTGATCATTAAGCGGAGGCCAGTTCCTTTACCCCCTCAGGCAGAACCCTGCAAAGTTGATCACCAGTACCTGCAGAATTAATTTACGAAAAGTCATGCAACTCTCCGTCTCGGAAATTGCACTTTATTGCATGTGTCAAGCCAAGTGCAATCAGCCGTTAACCACAAGCAAGGTAATCGCATATGAAATATAACCCTTTCATTTTTTCGCATTTTCCTGGAATTTCAATTTCTCAAACTAATAATATTTCGTATACCAGGCTATAAGGCCCTGTTAAAAAGTCTCAAAGCAATCAATTCTGTTTTTTAATGGAATACTTTTCTCATTTGCTTTCTTAATTATTTGCATGCTGTTTGCAAAATATGTATAATATAGAAAAAATAGTAGGTATCGCCTTTCGGTACCTCCTCAGAATCTATCCTTTTAGACTGCAGTTGTAATTCCAGTTCCCCGTGTAGCCAGACACCTGCAATCTGTCATCAGCACTGCACTGATTGATGAGTAGTATACGTGCATTTCTGTAATGCCACCATTTAATTTTTATAATTTCTAATCTGTGATTATGATGAGTATTTTGCTCTTGGTCTGTTTTATTACTTATTCTGTATAATTATTTTATAGTGCATGTCTTATTTCAGAAGACGACAATGTAACATTAGCCTTTTCATCTTCAGCTACTCATAGTGACAGTTATTCATGAAGCTGTGAAACTTCATCATTTACACTGCAATTACTGTATGTACTGCATCTGTTAAATAAATGGAAATTCAGTGCACGGGGAAATAGTTTTTCACATAGGGGAGTCCTACCACAGGACCTGGCACTACACTACAATTTAGGCATAAAAGCTGAGGGTACCGTCTGTTCCTTTGTGCACATATCCGTTTGACAAGGGAGGCATCAGCTGCTGATGACTTCCAGCTTCAGAGCTGCTGTAGCCCTCCTGCGGTTCAGACAGGGTGCCTTGGGAGGAGAGGTAGCTGGGAATGTCAGCAGGCAAGTTCATCTCGTCTGGGAAAAAAACAATGCAGCGATCCTTAGCACAGTAGGCTTTCTTCTTGCAAATTCACTCTTAAACTGGTTTCTAATATTCCTTTCATGCAGTAACAAAGCATTTGACTGCATTTCCTTACATAGGGGGAATAGAAATCACTGCCAAGTTTAATATAAAACTTATTTCTATTCATTTATCACATTGCAGAAGAACCTTTGAAATGTCTTGAGTTGGATATGGAAAACTGCCTGGTACTAATCTAGTGTTGCAAAGAAAGTCACACATAAAATAAATTACATTCGTTTCTGGTTCCTTAAGATCATTTCAATGGAAGACTAAAGAATAAGCAAAGCAGGCTGAGAGTTAATAATGTATTATTCTTCACTTTGCCTTTAAAACCATCTTCCAGCATATGCTTTTTTTCCCCCCAATCAGTGGCTCAGAACCAATGCCAGCAACAAACGGTCTTATGACAATCTAATTAAATCATGTCTGTTTCTCACATTTTACAATGTGCATGCATATAAAAATAACATATGGTATCTAAATATGGTAAAATTCCAATCAAATTATATCTGAAATTTGACACTTAATGTCATGCTGATTGGCATGCCATATCAGCTTTGCTCATGTTTAGATCTTTGATTATGGCTGATTCTGAAATGAGACCAGCTCCTCAGGTCAGCAATCTTGGATCTGAACTTTGATTCAGGTTGCGTAACTCTTTTTTCCCCATCTTCAGAACACTGCTCGTACCTGTTCATCTCACTCAATCTGATGCAGAGAAGCTAATGCATGCATTTCATTTTCCAGGGCTTGATTATTGTAACGCAGATGTTAGCCAATGTTTCTAATGCTAGCCAAGAGGTTCTTAAATTACAATATGTTCAGAACTCAGCTTATAATTAAAATGTAGGAGCATATCTGCTGATTTAGATTCCCTGCCTTAGTTCTCCGTTCATTTTATTTCAGAATAAAATTCAAAACATTGCTGTTCACCTTTTTAACAGTTTGAATGCTTTGGCTCCTGACTCCTTCAAAGAACTGTTGACTCCTTACAACACCTAAATCACCTTATGTGTGCTTCACTTTGAACTGTGACCTTCTTTCAGTTGTGGAAAAAGTGAATCAGAACACAGGGATTCTGTTTTCTGTTCTGCTGCTCCATGATCCCATATTAGATCTTGCAGGTCAATAAGTACTTTTGCTTAGGTAGATTCGATTTAGAATCACCAATGATCATCTGTTAGAAGACAATCCAATTTACACAGGCAACACTGTTCACATCTCAGACTACAAACTCTGAAACTACACCTGAGTGAGGATACCAAAGTGTAGTTTTTTCCGAACTGGTCACCTCTGAGCCACGTGTCTCTTTACACTTGACTACAGGGCCCCTGGCATGAATGAGCTCTGACAGGCGGGGAGGCGCCTCGCTCGCCAGCTGTGCTGCAAGTGCCCAGAATGTCAAGGGGTTGCTGGGTCACCGGGTCACCATGACCCACGAGGTCAGCCGATCGCTCTCCGCTGTTTGAGGATTCTCGGTCACAGCCGGCTAGCGACCAGGCTCAAACCCACAACGTCTGGATCATAGGGTTCGGCCAGTTGAGCCACTTAGAAATCATATTTAAACTCTTCTACACATATTAACTATTCTGTAAAATTCTAATGTTTTTTGCCTTTTCTAAATTTTCTGAGATGATAAATTACCATAATTAAAACTGTATTACAACTGGTGCTACACACTAACTTATTGCAGACAACAATACAATAATCTCGTTCTATACCTGATTTTACCTAACAAGGTTGTGAGAATCTGCGCAGAACTTCCTGTATCCTTTTTTACCTTCTGTGACCCCGGGTTTTGAGTCCGCGAGTTCGAGAAGCATACAGGAGCTGTGATGCATGCTGGCGCAAGACGTGTCCGCAATTTCTCTCACATTCTTAAAGCATTCTGGGCATATTAGTGTGCATTAATGCATTGGGCTTTGATGGTTATTGTTACTGGACTGTGCAAAGATGCGTTAGTGATTTCCTAAATAAATGTAATAGTCTTAGATAAATAATAAATTAATCAAAATATCTCCTAATTGTATGAGAAAGGACAAAGAGTCCTGTGTTGCTTAAGACTCTACAGCCTTGATAAACTTAGAAGAAAAAATAAAGAGCTTGATAAGTTACATGAAGCACCAAGTAATGGTGCTGCTGGTTGTTTGATGTAAATTAAATCAACAAATCATAAAATTGAGAGAAGTGAAGAAGCTATCAGTGGGCCTGTAAGAAGTGGAAAAGCAACATAAACCATGCAACATGACCTATCTATACAATCTATAGATTGTAAAAACTATACAATATAATTTCCAAAACATAGTGTTATTGTGGGAGACGTTTTCCAGGTGTTATTGTAAGGTGACACTACACAGTTTATATGGTAGCATCAAAAATACCAATTTACTAAATAAAAAGCAATTACTGATACTATTTGTCATAAATTGTGGCAAATGCATGATGTGTAATGAAAATAAAGAACACTTTCTGTCTGACCCAATCAGCAAACTGTGGAAATAGCACAATCGTGTATTCACTGTTAATGACATTTCTCAGTTGAAAAAGTGAATGGCATGAAACTCATTAAAAGAGCAGCAGCTGTTATCTGGCAATTAACACATTTTAGAAAAACTGTTTGTGTTTTAACTGACACCTGTCAGGATCAAACATTTTAAGAGATTGTTTTGGAAACGGCAATACGCAGAGAGTTATTTAAAGTGAAGATGAAGTGGTGAATGGCCAAATTTCAAGCCCTGCAATACGCTGCAACAGCAAGTCCACCGAGATGCAACACAACCAGATGACTTGCCACGGTGCCTGTGGTTTATTTCTGATCTTCACTGCTCACTGACCTGTGTTGCTGATGCTGTAGTCCTCGCTCCTCTTCCTCATGTGGTAGATGACAATGACCCACACCAGCGAGGTGCCCACCACGCAGCACACCACCACGATGATGACGATGCCCACTGTGGTCCAGCCGTCGTCGTCGTACCCGCCAGCCCCCGCCGTGTCGCAGTTTGGGGAGGGCACCACGCTGAGGTAGATGTGGCCGCGCTCGGTGCCCAGCGTGTTGGACATGATGCAGGTATACTTCCCCGCGTCGCTGGGGCCGGCGTCCACGATGATCAGCAGCTGATTGGCGGCGGCGAAGAAGTGGCGCTCGGTAACGATGAGCGGGCCGTCGTCCTTGGTCCAGTTCAGCCGAGGGGCGGGGCTGCCGCCAGCTATGCACTGCAGGACGGCCGTCTCTCCTCGGGCCACTGTCCGGTCCTCCAGGGGTCTCACAAAAGAGGGGGTTTCTACAATTACACCACCCCAAGAAACACAGTTCATTTCCAAGGAAGTGTAAAAGCATCTGTATGTTTTAATTATCCCTAAAGTAGTTCCTTCATAGCAGGGTCCTAAAGGGTGCAAGCTGTTTTCATTGGACAGCACCTCTGACGGACGGACCGACGAGGGTGTGCTTGGCATGAGGCACCTCCACACTCACCCAGCACCGTGAGGGTGGCGTTAGCAGACAGGCTCCCGGCCGCGTTCTGCGCTGTGCAGCTGTACACGCCCATGTCCTCCGTCTTGACGTTGGCGATGAAGAAGATGTCGTCGTCAGGCATGACGTGCATGCGGCGCTCCCGCGCGGCAGGGAAGTCCGTGCCGCCGTCCTTCTGCCAGGAGATCTGGGGGGAGGGGTGCCCGTCGGCAGCGCACTCCAGGCGGACCATCGCGCCCGTGCGGATCGTCAGGTCCATCGGCGTCTTCAGGAAGGAGGGCAGCTCTGCGGGGGGAGGGGTTACAGGCACTGTTATCACCCACCTCCATCGTCCCTCTCCATGACACAATTAATAAAACAGCGGCATTAACAACAATACACAGACAGTATGTGCGTACTGCATTAGAAACACAACTGCACTTAGTAATGGCAAGAAGAATCAAAAAGCAGAACAAAATAGCCCAACAGTGCAATTAAGGTTTTTTTAGTAGGATACAGTTATGACTTAGACAAATTATAGTTAGGCTTATTTTTTGATAATCGCTTTAAATAAAAAAATGTAGCAGAAAAATCACTGATCATTAACTATGTAGCTGTGCAATGGGGTAACTGGTAGTACAAAACTGGGAAAAAAAGGGCTAAAATTTAGATTTAGCTAAGATAAACAAATGTTCAAACTTTTTATTACTGTATATGCGATAGTGTCCCTAGATAGTTTTGACTTGTCTTGTAAATGTTTTAAGATAGACATACAGACAAGCGCTAAATGCAAGTGTTTAATACTCCATATATATCGACATAACTGAGGAATTTGTGTGCCTTCTTTGAAAATTCGCAGCACTCCACAGCTCCACCCAGTTCGCCATACCCTCTAGACAGCTCAGCTTCTTGGAATGGTGCTTCACAAATCAAGAAAGTGATTCTCCAGCAGTCAGGATATTGCGATTTTGATTAAATCTTTACTGAGCAGAAGACAAGAGCCTGATATTTTAAGTGAAACGGGCCTGCTGTACAGGAGAAAACTTCTTCAACTCCACCCCTCATACTCAAGCAACTGCTGCATTAGAGAAAACACCTAGAGCAAACGCATTAAATCACAACCTGTTCACACCAAACAGCCCAAGATATATGTTTTGCTATTTACTGTTGAACAAAGCTCCTTCCTATAAAATTAATGAGTTCTAAGTGTCACTAGTAAAATGTTCAAGGTAATTAATTATTGCAGGTGTCAGTGGTACACAATTACTCTACAGTTTCTCAGATGCAGCACTGCTACATTTACAGAAAGCCTGCATCACGTCTGAAAAGATACAACTGAGAACAGATTAATAGGCATCAGATCTACTTCTATGAGTATTTTTTTCCAAACAGATTATGCTCATTTTCCTAAACAGGCTTTTCAACAGTCAAAAACATCCCAAGAAGGGGAAACAAATCCAGCAATACTGCACAACCAAAATTAAAAGCTTATGAATGGGGGAAATGTAGTGGTCATTTAATTCCAGTGACATTACCTGTTTTATTTTCTGACACAGAAAAGGATACTTTATTTATTTACTTCCGTCCTCTACCTGCAGTTTCAGGGTGTTGGCAAAAACAATAACTGACAGAGGGGAGAGAGGCTGGTGAGGCTTCAAAACTAAAAGGCAAAGAACCCTCACCGTTGACGGTGAGCTTGGCCCGGTTGGAGTAGTTGGAGCCGAAGTGGTTGGTGACGACGCACTGGTAGCGCCCCTCGTCGGTGAAGTTGACGCCGACGAGGTGGAGCACGGTGGTGTACTCCACCACGTCTCCCTCCTGCTCCCTGTACCTGGCGAAGTTCTGCACCTCGGCGTCGTACAGCACCTCCCCGTCCTTCCTCCAGGCCGTGGCCATGGGCGAGTCGCTGCTGCTGGCCGCCGTGCAGCTCAGCGTCACGTTGGACCCCCGCAGGACCACCGAGGTCTCGGGGTGCGCCGTGATCTGGGGCTTGGGAAAATCATCTGGAGGAGAGAGGCGCGGGATAACAGTTGCTAGGCCATTGCCACAGCCCGTCGCCACACTGGCTTAGGTCAGTGGTTCTCAGCCCTGGTCCTGGAGAACCCCCCCTCTCTTCTGGTTTACATCCCAGCTGAGCTCTCAAGTGCATAAAGCTTACAAACAAGAGGAAACCACTCAGCACATCTGGCCTGCTGGGTAGTTAGCAGTTCAAGGGTCCAACAATCTCATTCAGCCATTTCCAGAGAGACGTTAGGGTATCAGCACAAAACAGCATGGCTGAGTAGCCTGTTCCATACTCCCACAAACCTTTGGGTAAACAAATAACTCCTGGTTTTGGTTTTAAAAGTTCACTCATGTAATTTCCGCTTGTGTTCTCTTAATGACCCAGGCTAAATAATCTCTATTTAGTCACAGCAGGATAAGAAGACTCAGCAAGTTCCTAATTAATGTCATCCCTTAAATAATTTCTGGTTTCTAGTGACATAACCCATGACTCTTGGGTCATAAAGCCCATCTTCTGCACAGGTGAGTGCCTTTAACAGCTGAGCCACTCGGGATGCCCCACAAGTAATGCGACCTCTGCACAACACAAGAGTTATCTGCTTTTTACAAGCAACTATCTAGGGGGCAAGTATCACTTCACAGGAGAGAAACAATAGAGTTAATTTGCTGCATTTCTTTTAATAACAAAACCATTACAGAAAATCCATTGAAAAGGTCTAATTAAACAAAAAGAACAATTAAAGGAACCGATTTAAGAGCTCAGTTGGTACAAAAATCAGAAACCACAGGGGTGTTCCAGGACTAGAGTTGAGATCAACAGCTCCAGGCAATGCACAAAAAGTTCTCGTCTCAGCCAGAAGGCAAGGCTCAGTGTGTGTGTGGCAAAGGAGAGTGACTGGAGTTAGCACTTGGCTGGCTTGACTGAGAACAGACATGAGACACACTCACCACAGACGAAGTCCTCCAGATTCACAGTGAGCACACTCCTGCCTGCCAGGCTGGCAGGGTGGGCACAGACGGCCGTTGCAGACTGCTGGAACCCGCTGTCAATCAGCCACTGTCCGAACCACTTCAGCTGGCAGTCACACAGCAAGCTGCTTGTGTTCAGCAGCCTGGGAAAGACAAACAGGAAGTGTCCAGAAATCCTTTGCCAGGCATTTCATTTTCCATTTCTGACATACTGCCTCATGAACATTCAGACACTGCTGCAAGCTTAACTACTATTAAACATCCATCTGGGGACTGGTGTGCAGCTCTGAGCAGTGCCACTGATGAAAGCTACGAAACCTACGGCACATGTTTATTTTTAATTTTGAAGCAACACTATTAGCCAAATTGTAGAAGAATGAATAACTGCAAATGACAGAAGGTATGCAAACTGTCATTATTAATACATCTAGCTCTTACTTCAATGACAGCAAAATGGACAGGCCTGTGTAAACTTGGCCATAAAACCATCGTCATCTGAAATGCACTTGAAACAAGCTCAGAAAAGACTAAAAGCCATACAGTTTAAAGCTTCTTCCTATAACTCCTGATTTCTACTGCATGCACAAAGTATGAAGTGATTTTTGCAGGTGTAAGTCATGCACAATCACTGCACAATTTCTCAGATGAGGTATTACTTTAAGTATAGTTTAAGAAAAAATGCAATACATTTAAGACATTAGTGAATACCACTTAGTATTATGGAGTAATGATATTTATGTCTGTAACTACATTATATCTTTAAATACTTCAAAATATAAATCATGCAAATATGGAGAATTAATTCAAGGTGCCTTGTGTGCTTCCACTCTTGGTTACAGTAATTACAGGGGTTCTGTAAAGTAAATCTAGTAGACGTTCACTTCTTAGTTTCAGGCTGACATGCTAACTGGTTGTGACCTGACTAAAGGACAGTAATTTAATGTGCTGCCACTGTAATTTCTCCATTTTTCTTTCTATACTAAAAAATTGTCACACTGAGAATGAGGATTGTGTTTTTTTAGTGTCATGTTAAATAGAAAAGAGATCAAAACTAAAATGTTAACTCTTGGGTTTTGTGCATCTTACTTTTAGGAACATTAAGTGAACAATTAAAGAAGAAAAAAACAATGCTGAGAAAGGTGACATTGTATGAGTATACAGTATAAGTCACCAAGGATAAATCCTAGCTATAACTTTCCAAAGGGAATAGATTTCAGTATCTCCCAGTTAACATGTATTTTACAAGCTCAAGATAGCTAACCAATTAATTGTATTTATTTAAAACTTTCCCAGAAAAGCTTTGGTATTTCTCATGTTTCTCAGACATTTCAGGTATAATGTAGGTAACGTTTTTGTTTTGATTGTGCACTTTCCTCTGAAACAGGCACTTGTCATTCTTCATGAGTGTGCACATCCCACAGTGCCCACAGGAGAGTCTGCTTCAAATGCAGGTAGAGAGGAAGTGGCTCTCATGACCTGAGGAAAGACTGCTGCTGTACAGTGGATCATGGATACCCTGGCTATCTCCATCCCACACAACCACAGAGATAAATCAACACAGAGATAAAATATGTGCCAGGTGTTCAGATAACCCTGTCACACCTGGACAATGGCCTGTCCACAAAGCAGTGATGTCTAGACTGCAAGTCTCAAACTGAGGCTCACGCAAGTGCTTTTACTGGCTGTGACACTAGGGAATCTGTCATCCTCTGCTCTGCAGGCTGTTACACTAATCAGTTTTCTTTACTTACAGCTCTTTAAGTCTCAGGTGGGAAAATGCTTCAGGGTGAATCGACATGATGCTGTTTTTACTTAAGTCACTGTTCCAAAACAAAAAGAAATTTGCATTTTTATCACACCTTATGATAAAACAAATCTGAAGACATGACAGGACTGAACATTTTCTTCATACAAACCTAGACACGGAGGAGTATTTTAACACAAGCTATTCTTGTGTAACAATAATGATTTAAAACTGAACATTCCTTAAAATGCCAGTTTACTGCTGAACATTCGTGAATTTTTCCAGGTAGACTCAACACTGATAATTTAAGAGCGTTAAATTACATAAAAAACTTGTGGAAGCAGATAATGCGGTGGCTCTGTGGCTAGGAATCTGTCTGGGAGGATTCCGATTCGTATTCTGCGGCCGGCAGAGGAATCCTACTCCGTTGGGCCTCTGAGCAAGGCCCTTCACCCCAACTGGTTCAGGGGCGCCGTATAAACGGCTGACCCTGCGCTCTGACGCCCAGCTTCTCTCCCTGTTTGTGTGTCTCATGGAGAACAAGTTGGGGTATGCCAAAAGACAAATTCCTAATGCAAGAAATTGTATATGGCCAATAAAGTAATCTTATTTTAGCAAGATTAATACATTTATTTTCATATGCAGTCTCAAGAAAGGCAAGAAAGGTGTGAAGCTAGACACACTCACATATGTTCCAAAGCCTCTAGGCCATCAAAGGCTTTCTTCGTGATGGATTTAATTTTGTTCCTCTGCAGCACTCTGGAAAAACAATACTCTCATTACACTTTGTAGACAAGGCAAATGGCCCACAGAGCAGGCAGGTCACCAAACTCAATTAGAACTTGAAGCACTGAGACTCAACTCTCCTCAATAGTGAACAGATTTAATGTACTGCTACTAATATTAATACTAAAAATTGGTACTAAAATTAGTTTCTCCTCTTTTTTTACCTGATTGGAGCTAGAATTAAATTTTCAACCCCAGTCACATCATTACATTCAAACTGATTAGATGAAAACAAAACATACACGTAGTTGCCTTTCAAGGCACGTTTTCACACACCGTATACAAAACTACCTTTTGGAACGGAGACAGGAAAATGGAGAAACACAGCAGCCAGTAGGTACTAGTGCTCTTGCAGGAACCCCCAGAACCTACTGTTGCATTATCACATTGAGATTCAAAGTCCACCATAATTCTCCAACCAACGGTCTATTTTTTATTAAGTTGATATTTATACCCACAGGTGTTAATGCAACTCGACTATGCATCAATACTGGGATAGAAAAGACTAACTGCACTTCCCCGAGAAAACCTTGTACTCAACTTCTGTAACAGGGGAGTGGTTTGGCCAACTGTTCACCACTGTCTGGAGGACCCTGGTAACAGTGGGCTAATGACAACCTGTCTTACAACATCAAAGTCGGGACAACAGGGGCTATCCTACAGACCGAAGAGACTCTTTTGCTTGCAAAGCCACTTGAAACTCCTCCACTGGCTTGAACACTCTTGACCAGGCAGGATTAAGAAGGTTAATATAATAAACAAGTAACGCCAATTAAACAATCATAATAGTCTATAAGGAACATTAACATGTAATACAGTTGTTCCTACAGTCTCTCTAATTGATATTAACAGCATGATTGATTGGAAAACCAAGAGGATATACATACATTGTATTTAACTTTTTCATCCCAACGAATATTCCGACAGAATCTTCAATAGCCCACGAGATCTCGTTATTCCGTAGGTCTCTGAGATGAAGCAAAACAAACACTTCAGAAACTGTAGAAATTCAACCTTAAAGCCACAAGCAAAGAAATAAGATGTAAGCATTTAATAAAAATAAGGAACAACCAATGAACACTCAGGAAGTGTCTAAAATATTAGGGGTGCCGATATATTATTCTCTGATAAATAGGAAAATGTATTTATTATCGTTCCGATATTGGAATTACAGTCAATAATTACATCCGATAATGCGGCGTCCTATTTTTGTTTGCGCAACTAGTTGTTTTATTATGTGCACGCACTGACGCACTAGACTGGGTACAGTACGGTTGCTGCAGAGTGAAATGTTGGCGGTGTGGAACATTTTCACCATTTCAGCAGAGGACAACATAATTGCAACCTGCAACAAATGTTCAGCCGAAGTTCAGTGAGGAAGAAAAAGTAAAGAGTTTCAATACCACTAATTGTTTTAAAATGCAAAAAAGTAGAATGATCTGTTATCGGTATCTGTATCGGCCACAACAAGCTGTTAATTATCGGTTATCGTTATCGGCCCAGAAATTCCATATCAGTGCATCCCTATAAGATATGACCATTTAGGATAATTCCTTAAGAAATGTTTTCACTCATAAAAGATTTCATCATTGCCGGTGTAATAAAACACAGGAATAAGAGTTCATATTGCAAGTCAATAAAATATAATTAAGCAATGAATATTTTTACGTTTTAACTATAGGCGACCTCTAAATAGGCCTACATTTGCGCAGATGAAGCCCTGTTCCAGCTCGCTGGGCTGCTCACTGCTTCTCTCTCACGCCTGGCTGGGCCAGAACGCGGCTGCCTTGTTCCCTCGCCCAGCCCCGCAGTCCGAGAACACTCAGTGACCCTGAACTGAATGGTTCCCTCTGTCAGCTGTCTGACGCCCTCCGGGAACTGAACAAAACCCCCTAATTAATCTGCTCTTGTCCTGCTTCATGCTTTTTCAAATCCAAACGAGATTACTTTTAATTATTTCATTAAAAGGTTGCATTAGGTTAATAGAACTTGACTGCCTGGTTGAATCCCAATAATCGCCTGTTTCAACAATAAAGGCATTTGTAGTCAAGATGTCCAGATAATAAACACAGCTGCAGTTATCCAGTCCTCCTGTTATCTGTTTGTAAACTTTGTGCTCTTTCATTGTATTTAGAATGATAACAAATTTAGAGCTTATCACACAAGACTCCTTTGTCCATAGATTCCACAGTTCAAAATACATTAACATTCTACATAGCAAACATAATTAGCAAGTTCACTTTACTGCAGAGGATTCCTGAAGATGAGAGAAATCACCACCATTAATGGGACAAATTTTAAATATAGAGGTCTGTCTAAATGAAGAATAAAGGCAGAACATACGCACGTCTCATGCAAGGACAGAAAACAGAAGCAAATGCATATGGATATAGTCATTCTTGAAAAGTACAGCCACAATATGCAGCTTTTATAATGGGGAGGGATACAGAGCCCATTAGACAACAAAAGGCCATAGCCAGGTACAGCCTTTCATTCACTTACAGAGTGCGCAAGCTGGACAGGCCACTGAAGACCCCTTCTCCCAGGTGACTGACCGAGTTCTCCGCCAGATTCAGGGTCTCCAGCAAACTGAGCCCAGAAAATGCCGTCTCCTCCAAGCGAGACAGTTGGTTATAGGATAAATCCCTACAAATAGGAAGAGGAGGATGGACATACAGCAACGTTCCAGCACCAAAATAGACATTACTACACAATGAAACACACACCGATTACAAGAAAAGGTCAATTAAACAAATCCACCTTTGTTTTTAAACAGCGACAACCTCACATAAAACCTGGCCTCCAAAACGCAGTTTACATCTAATGATACTGACCTACATTTAATAAGTATCTGGAAGAGGAACTGAAGGAATGTGGCGGTTATAATCTGGCTCAAGATTTTCCGAATTTTCTTGCATGGGCAAATTCCTATCTTAATCCATTTTTAACACCGGTGGAACTTTGCCCACAGCAAAAAGAGGAATGTCAAATTATTTTTTTATTGCTTTCTTTTATACCTTAAAAAAGCAGGGAATTCAACGTTCACTGATGCAAACAAAAAAAGTGCTTCTATTAAGCAGATAAAAACACTAAGCACAAGCCCAATTCCTTTGTGCAATTAATAATTTGCAGTGGTTGGAAAAGTTACCACATAAGCCAACACTGAACAAAATGCTTAAACAATTATAAAAACACAAAACATTTACTCCTAAGAAATTAATTATACTTAAGTATTTTACTAGGCTAGCACGGGTATCTGTTTGTTTCCCCCATTATTGTACTACAATTCGTTCACATTTTATACAAAAATCAAAGTGGCCCCAATTTACGAAATGAAGAACCAGAAAATAACCCATCCATCTTCTAACCTCTTCTTCCAATTCAGGGTCGAGGGGAAGACAGAGCCTATCCCAGCAAGCAACAGATCACAGGGGTACACAAAGACGTACACACCAGAGCCAATTAACCTACCAGTATGTTTTTGGACTATGGGAGGCACCCGGAGCACCTGGAGAAAAGTCACGCTCACACCAACACGGGAAGAACATACAAGCTCCACACACATAGCACACCAAGTCCAGAACTGAACCCAAGGCCCCAGTTCTGCAAGGCACCAATCCTACCCACCGTGCCACTGGCACCTCCCACCCGAAAACAATGAGTATCAAAATTCAAGGAGGCTGCTAACCGACATACTCCAGCACAGCGCAGTGGCCGGGCTGACCATGACTGCTTAAGATTTAGCATCATGGAGCGCGAACACTGTATTTCGTGTCCCGCCTGTCCCCTTCCCCACCTTTCACTGGGCTCGAGCCAGGAAAACCCGTTCCAAACCAACCAAGGCAGAACAAAATAAAATGGCGGCACTTGCCGCACGCTCTCCTGTGGAATCTAATGGAAAAGAGCACTCACAGCTCCTCGAGCCTCTGGCAGAACTCCCAGGCATCCGGCCTGATTTCACGAATGGCGTTCTGGCTAACGCGCAGCACCCGCAGCATTCTCAGCCCGTACAGCCAGCCTTTGTTCACTTCCGTCAGGTTATTGTGCTCCAGCTCCCTGGGGGTGGGGGAGTCACAGAGAGATTGAAACAGACCAGCTCTGGGCAGTCTGAAGAATAGGTCAAGTGGAAATGGTGTATATTCTCCACTATGGTGGTAAATTAAATAGGACTGTTAATTCTTACATACCAAAACCATTTAAGTTCTATAAAATAACCATACAAGCCACATACATGCTGCATGCATCGAGACTGGTTTTGCTTTGCAGCCTTTTTATACATTTCACTGTTCCCCCAGAATGAGCATTCATGTTTTGACAAAAATACAAACTTTAAAACAGGTGTGTATATCTTTTGCAATTCAGCAATTCAGGGGGTGAATTCCAGACTTTTGCAAGGTACTGTATAAGTACAGATTGTGGCCTTTAAGCTTGCTGGCCTATTCAAACAATGACAATGTGAAAACTGCACACAAAAAAGCAAAGACATCTAAATCGCACACAAACGGGACTATTGAAACACACTGCCACAGACAACGAGAGAGCACATCATTTCAGATCTCACTGTCATCTGGTGGATACCAGTGATGTGTTTTCTGGACACTGTTACTGGTCCTGGAGACATGTCTCCAATCGCCCCCACGTCTACGTGAACAACTTAGCTTCCTTACTGCACAGTGCAGTTTCCGCAATACAACTTTTTGAATAAAGTATCATATATGTACCAAATCTCCTGAGGTGTTTAACCTCTGAATCAAACATATCACAGGCTTTTCACCAGTTCTCTGCAATGCAGATCACAGCCGACATTAAAACTCACAGTTCTTCCATGTTGTTCAACCCAAAGAAAGCACCATCCATGAGCTTAGTGATGCCATTGCGCTGAATCTTCAGTGACTTGAGGGAGTCCAGCCCTTGGAATGTGAGACTGTCCACCACTTTAATCTTATTCCGCTTTAGCTCTCTGAAAGCACACAACAGAACAAAATGTTTTTAAATAGGATGCAGGCCAGTGTCAAACAGCTGGAAAAACACATTTACATTTCCACAACTGTTTTGAGCAGTATCTTTAAAAAACCTAATGTTAGTATTCCATTAAGAGTACAGGAACAGGTTCACTAGGACTCACAACAAGGATAGATTTGTTTTAATATCAGCAACCACTCCTCATAATCAAATGATTTCTGGTGATTCTTTTTATAAATTCATAAGAAACAAACTACTTACAAGTACTGTAGCTGAGGCAGTCGGAAGATTTTGTGTGGGAGAAATGTTATTCTGTTGCGGTTCAGTTTCAGAACTACTAATGAGTTGGAGATGTTGTCGAAGCACCCGGGTTCCAGCGTACTGATTTTATTGTTGCTCAGGTTCCTGAAACAGAAATGCCAGAAGGCGACAAAATGGTGACCACCAAACACTTCCACACATAGCAAGTGCCAAGAATACGTATTCCGCCTACTGAAATTGAGCCGAAATCCAGATTAAAGCAGAGCTTCGATCCACCAAATGGCAAAGCCTTATGAGGTAGCTTTTCAGGTGGTCAAACTAATCATTTCTACCCAGAGAAAACCACCATCAGCTACTAAAGCTTGTGATGGGTACAGTTAATTCAGGCCACAGTAAATATGAGCTCAGGAGCCTCATCCCTGAAAGATTTAAAGGGATCTGCAGAACTATAGTATGAACCAGCATACAAAGGGGCTGGCACACTCTTTCCAAACTCACAGAATTCACCTGCAAGCTTTGCTACTGTTTGCTGGTGTGAAATCAGACTTCAGTACATTTAGAAAACATCTGACTGCTAAACTATTTATAAAACTACATGGACCAGCAATGACAAGTTGTCTTGACTCTGACTGCAACTATACAACCTTATAGATGCAGAACGAAATTCCATGTACATCACCCTTCAGCATTCCACTTTCACTTAGGTTTAAGGTTAATTTTAAAATGAATTTGTTAGCTGTTGTTTCTTTATGTTGTTTAAAGGGGCACAAAGTCCCAGAGTAAGGTATTTTTAGGTGGCTGGCTCCATTCAAAGGCACTCCCTTGTTAACATGAGCCTTCCACTGCAGTGCAACTGCTTGGGTGTCAGACATTTTAGTTGGAACACAAAGAAATACAGATGATGACTTTGTGATCACATTTTGCTCCACTTTTCCACCATCCAAATAAATCCTATCTTACCACCCAAAACTCTGCTTCAATGGGAAAGAGTCATTTTTTTTCATTTCTGCATTGTCTCTTGTAACTTCTGGATCTTTTAACTTATACAAAATACTTCTGCAAATGTTGATCTACTGTGAATAATTTCTAACTTTCCCCTTCTCTTAACAGTAAATTAATACCAAATCGCGTCTTATTTTTTGTATTTCTTTGTTGCACATGCTGCATAGCCTTAACTTAAAATTTTGTCACACAACAACTAATGATCAAACATGCAATCACTTTCATTGGTTCACATGCATCCTTATCGTGTCATGAGAGAGCTTTCCGAGAAAAAAATCTCACAGATGCGCCCCATCAAATTCAGTATTTGTGTCATAAAAGGCAACACGAGGAAGTTAAAATAAAAAAAAACTTACAGATACTTCAGCTGCATCGGAGGGAAGGAGCCTGCTTTGATCTCCGAGACAGCATTGGAGCTGAGATCTAAAGACTCCAGAGACACATAGGGCTGGAGCTGCTCTGTAACCATGTCAGTGATTCGGTTATGAACCCTGTTAAAACAGCATAGGGAAAAGCACAGCGGTACTTATCAGCTCTGATGAGAAAGAAGGCAAGATTTAAAACTCAGCTGGAGTAATCAGGGTTCAAACCTGTAACAGTGCCCTACAGGCTAGAAGTAATAATAAAATCCACATAAGCTTTAAGTGACATGCTAAACAGTTTGCTATTTCTCTTACTGACAGCTGTGATATTTTGTGTGGGTTTGTGCAGTCATGCAGTGAAGCAATGTAGATGTAAATTATGGATGCATGGGCTATTACAAAGTATACTATCCAGCAGTGTGTAACTATTATGTAGCGTGTAAATGTAGTCTTAAAGATTATTAACAGAAATATCTGTTCCCATTGGAACAGGAAAATGAGCCAGTAATAACTATCCTTACCCTAAAATGAAACAAAATACACTTCTGGTTTACACAAACCAAGGTACGTGCATTATTACATATCCACAGTGCCTGGCAAACATTTAAATTCCCTACCAATAATTCAATATTTGGATGAATTGCAGGTAATGTACATCTTTTTTTAATGAACTCTTTTTCAAAATTAACTACTAAACTGAGCTTTGTTACTTATGAAGAAGGCTGAGTGTTTGCTTAGAGACTGACTGAGTAGTCAGTCTCCTAGGTCAGTATTTAGTGGAACCACCTTTGGTAATTAATACTGCCACGTCTTTTTGAATACGTCTCCACCAGCTCTGTACAATGGGATGGTGCAATTTTTGCCTAATTCATCAGTTACAGGAGGAAATTAAATTATTTTTGTGTCAGAAAAAGTGGCCTTGGCCTTGTGTCTTAAGGCATTGTCCTACTGAAATATTAATTTTCAACCCAGTTTTAGATTCCGGCTGTCTTAAGACAAGTTTTCCACTTTCTCGGCACTCAATTATATATATGTATGAACACTGCATCCCATCTCAGACATACAATTTTGCAAATATTTCAAGAACAAAGTTATGTTGGCTTCACAGTAGCATCTCTAACAATTCCTGCTTGCTCAGTCTGGAAGGGCGGCCTGATCTGGGCTGCCCATTCCATTCGCATTCCACTTCTTACAAATCAGTGACTTTTCTTGTTTAACCCCAATACCACTTCATCTCTGACTCTTGTTTCAAAAGCTCCTTGATCTCCCTGTTTCATTTATCATATTACCATGCGAGTTGTGGCTTGAAGTTCAAAATACAAGCAAAGGAACTTTCGGATAGATGCTTTTCAATCTGATCTCATGTCACACAAACTCCAAATTCAGAATACTTGATTACACACAGACCATTACTAACTAATCTTTTGCATTTGAAATGATTTAAGGTGGCCACAGAAAAAGGGCTGAATATTTATGCAACTACAGTACTGATTTTCCACTTTTTCTTTATCAGTTTAGATGACACTGTATGGATTCTACATATGAAGTGTAATGACTGCAATTCACATGAGAAATGTTCTGGGAGCTGAAACCTTTTGCAAGGCACTGTATATGTAAGCACTGTAAAATATTGTAGTCATCTTACATTAAGGTATAAAGTCTCTGCTTAAAGACCCTTAAAATATTCATATTTAACTTTTAGTGCCAAGAGAGAGTTACATGGAAACTTTCTATGAAATGTAACTGTTTTCCCTTTGTCAAAGGACAAGAAAACTGCTAAACATACAGCTACTGTCATGCTATATTTTATTAGCTGCTGTTAAGCATGAAATTTATCCCCAACAGAGTGTGAGTGTGTTTTTAATGAAGTTCCATGGTTTATACACACACATGTATAAAAAACTAATTTGGGGTGAAAACAACTACAGATCTTTCTATCGTGCAATAAATCCCAAATGTGGTATTTCAACTTGATTTTTCCAGGCATCATACATCAAAAACATCTTACAGGGATAGAGCCGTGATGTTAGAAGTCACTTCTCCCATGAAAGGAATTGCTGTCAGTTCATTGTAGTTCACGTTGCTGAAAATGAAAACAAAAGTCTTTTTAAAAAAAAATATTGCTACACATATTCAACTAAGTACCGTTGGAACAGCATTTTAAAATAAAACAGAAAGACAGGCACAAGGTAGTGACTAGCACTGGTGCTTAACAGCTCTTGATCTTCAGCTTCAATTTCAGACTGGGGTACCCTCTGTCTGAAATTCGCATTTTCTCTCTGCAGTGGACTCCAAGTCACCCAGCTTCTTCCTACAGTCCAAAGACGTGCTGGCCAGGTTAGCCAGTGTCTCTAAAATTGTCCCTTTGTGTTGGGTGCATGTTCCCTGCAATGGACCGATTTCTCATCCAGGGTGTAGCTCTGCCTTACACTGTCAGCTGAGATAACATCCTCCTCACCCCTGTCAGCCACAGGATGCAGAGGCTACAGATGATGGATGGATAAAAAAAAAAGAGAAGCAAGACTGACTGGGTGGCACACAACCATTGATACGTGACAGTTTCCATTGATATTCTGACAATTTCTGGAAGAGAGTGCTGACCTCGCACCCGCTGTGTCTAAGAAGTACAGTATATAGTTTCACATTAACATGAATTATTCAACCTTTCAAATAGCACGTGACACAAGGGGTGCCACTAATGTAGTCCGTCAGAGCTGTCAACGCCTAAATAATTCAGATGTGCAGAGCAACTCGGCCGAGCTCACAACATTGGCAGCTTCCTCGCTGTGGGGAAAATGAAGTGATAAGGCATAAAGCACACTGACACCTTCAAGTGAGGTGAATCCATCACCAGCATTTATTTTCCACTACAATGTGGAAGACAGGACCTTGGAGCATGAGGGATTTAATAAAATTCTTCTTCCAAGGTACAGCCTTTCCTGTTGGAAAAAACGCTACAGCGCGGTTCTGAGACATGATCAGATGAGCTTACTGAGCCATCTCCAACCAGAAACACTGATCACCCCTCTCTCTGCGGCAGTTTTAATCTACAGCATTTCCCAGGATTGGGAGCATGTGGGCACACATGGCTGGAGTTTCATGACAAAGCACGAGGGACTGAGCTACTAAACATGGAGAACTGAATGGATACCTACTGGTTCCTTCCAAGAGGACTTCAGACACTACGAGAACACACATAGTACAAAATACAGACAAATGGTGGGATTGATAAGCAGAAAAAGTGGACATTTTGTTTGTTTCTGGCACTTGAAAGACCTAAATGCAGTCAGCATCAGCAACAACAACTACATATGTACCAATATATCTACCTGTTTCAACTTAATTGTATACAGATATTGTTACATTTGTAGTATATAAATGCTTATACTTCAAATTGCAAAGTCTTATGTTCCTATGGAAGAACAATGTTGACTTAGTTTGGATGTGTTTCTTCACAGTTTAAAATTGTTTCATACATTTGTTTCTAATCATTATAAAGTTTGAAATATAGTCCCCAATGAGAAGGCTAAAGTGTTAATAGATACATTAATATCCAAAGCCATATTTCTGTTTCAGGGGGTCATCCATTTCTATTGTAATGTCTTCGGAGCGTACTTCTTATTGACCAGTCACAGAATTTCAGTAAAACCTCTAAAAAGCCGCCACATAATTCAAATGCTTTCATCTTTTTTTTTTTTAATGCCGTGTAACCCTGGAGAGATGCTTAAATTATAAACATACTTATTTCAGAGTTTCTTCATTTCGTCACGTCAAGCCTCTCATGGCTTTTTAAAGAATACATTACACCTCAGTGTGGGGATAATCGTGCTTTTTATTAGGGCGGTTATCATAAAGTCCAACTTTTCCATGAAGTGAAAATTTCATTCCAGTTGGAAACACGCCTGGGAGGAGCGATGTACTTGCTCAGGAATGAACAAATTGGGCAGGCAACAAGTCCTGCGCTGCTGAAAATATTTCCAGATACTGAACCACGCAAAACTAACGCCAGCCCCCCAATAAAACAAAAGAGAGAAACCCCAAAGTACAGTCCTGAATCATTCAGTGTCGTATTGTAATAGCTCATAGCAAGGAAGGACAAACAATTGACTTAAGGTTTCCAATATCATTCGCACAGAGGCTGACTAGCTTTCTAAACCACAAACTGGCCTTTTTGGCACCATATTGCACTAAAGGGAAGACTCCAAATCGGCACAACATTGATGACCACTTAAACAATCACAGATTTTTCTGGGAAGAACATTTTTCTTGAGATTAAATGCAATATAGCTAAGTGTCAAGGCTGTTTTAACCAAACACACAGCTGTGTGTTATAACTTTAAATAGGGATGTTTCAGGCTAGGACCAGATCGGAGCAAACCCCTGGAGAGCCCTCCAAGAACTCCCCAGAAAGACAATAAATCACTCTCACAATTCTCTTAATCTTGTTTCAGTTCCTATGGTGCTGATGGTGACTCGGCGGGCCTGCAGTTCAGTATATGTGTAATAATTAACGTAGGCACCATGTTAACTAATCGCACACTTCAATTTGATTTTCTGTCCTCTGATGGTGCCGATCGGGAGATTTTCAGCAACAGGGGTCTTCACACCGGACAGGGTGGAAAACCCCCCGTGCTGGTCCCCGGATAGGCAACTTTAGCGCTGCAACCCAACCCGCACGGCATAGAATCACTTCGAAAATGTAAGAATTAGATAGAAACTTCTTGATAATAGAATGGTATATACGAGCCCAGGAAGCCAGTGTCCATTCCTAACCAACCCGTGCCGAAGCCTACTGCGATAAACTGTTCGAGGAGTCCAGCGGACACACTACGACCAGGCATTGATCACACTTACACATGAGATACCCAGGCAGGCGGGTCCAGAGGGGCTGCGGTCAGTCTCTTTCGGCTGCAGTCCAGCAGTCCGGGAGAACCGATCTGTCCGGTGCAAGAGCAAGCGGATGGGCAAGGGTCCATACCCACGGAACCCAAAACCCACAGGAGCAGCGCCGGGGGGATGGGCCACCCCGTCGCCATTTTGGATCCCAACACCATCAATAGTTCGCAACTATTTCAGAATGGTTTTTCTAAATATGTACTTTTCTGTCTACAGCAAACCACCCACGTTTGCATTACATCGGAAACATTGGCGTGCCATTTTAAATCCGTCTGCGGCTTTTTAATCCCTCCAGAAGCATCCCAAAACGATGTGAGTTTCAGTTCCTTTTTTTTCACCTTCCTTGCGAATTCCCTTCCGCCTTCCAATCTCGGCTGCTCCCAAGAACTAGAAAAATATGGAACTGCAACAAAATCTGAAGATTGAGAATCGCTCGGTCCTCGGAACTCAGTTTCACTCACAAAGCGACACCTTACCCATAGAAGGTACAAAAAGATTAATAAAAATGCAAATGGTATATTTTGTTTTCCGCGACCTTTTTTTAGCAAGAAAAACAAAGCGCCTCGCTTCAATGACACGGGATACTTCGGTAACAAAAGACCCGCCTCATGGAGGCTGTTTACTGTTCGGTTATTGGCCATCCTACACGTCAATCTAGATATTCCCTGTTTTCCATTGGTTCAATTTTAAGGAAAACGCTGTTCGAAGAGCCCTCATAAAACAATACGTGTTTCCGATTTGTTCCTGTAGTTGTTAATCAAGAAGTAGGCACCACCCGCTAGAAAATATATTCTATCTTTGAACGTCAGACTAAATGCCAAAATATTAGATATTCTTACCATAGATGAAAAACAAAATAAAGTTCCATAACAATGGCGACTTTAGTCTGCACTATGATGAAAACAATGTGAAGTGCTAAATATGCAATATAGTTGAGTTGTGGTTTAATCCATTCTAGTAATCTATAGCTCTAATCTACACTAGTCCTCCAAATCAAACACCAGCTAAACAGCTATTCTCAGAATACAGAAGCCTTCTAATAAACACGGTATAAAAGAAAAGTGAACTTTCTGTAATGTAGTAGAGATTGTGTTGTTTGTTAAAGAGTGTGTACTGATTGTGAGATGTATATTGTAAAATAAGTGTATTTTAATTAGATAATAAAAGTGAAATATCAAAAAACGAGTGTTAATAAAAATACTCATGTTAACTTATTTACTGACTTTGCACGCTCAGGATATCAAAGTAACAGTTCAACACAGAGATAGCGGCTACTGCTATAAAGTCCTATACAGCTCAAGGTGTCTGGTGTTTGTGCAGCCGAATGTCCACCTAAACCCTATATAATATTCACATCTACACTATGCACTTTTTGCATGGTCTACCAGGTTTTTTTCTCACTACTACATATTCACTGTCCCACGACATATTTGTTGTTCCTCATCTTTTTATTATGTTTATAATATACTGTCTACATTGTGTGGTGTTCTCTGTTGTACTGTGTATGTCCCGAGAGATCAACGCGATTAGGAATTCCAATGTATGGCAATAAACTACTCTACGTCTATAGGTGGAAATGAAGTCCTGTGAATTAAATACAGATAACGAAAAAAAAACTGTATTAGAAAAGTCTCGCAACAGGTTTTTAAGAACATTTTGGTATTTTTCCATTTATTTAACTGTACAGAATCAGAAACTAGTATTAGGCTTGCCATTGAGTACCGTAGATTACGAACCAGAATTTAAATGACAAAATACACGTCTCGGATCTACCAAAAAAAAACAGCCGTTTCATCTTCAATAGATCTTCGCTGAGGCGAAGATTTAATGTCAACAGTTTTTCACACCCGTCTCTGTGGCTGGGCCTTCAGTGTTTGTTCAGGGACTTTCAGGATGTTTCATCGTCAGATCAGAGAGCAATTATATCAACGCAGGTATAATTTATATGAAAGCAATTTGTGGTCAGTATATTTGAAAGAAGCTGATACTACTTAGTGTTACATATGTATTCAGCATATTAATGGTTTAAAGAAGATTTTGCTTACAAAGCAGCTAATTTATTGTAGAATGCATCTACCTTACTGACACTTCCTTAAACTGCATGTAAATGTCAGTAGCTCCAGGCCACTGCTGTTTAAACTAATTTCTTTAGTTTCCACATTCAGGGAGACTTATTCTCAAGAAACCGACGGCAGTACTCCTGCTTATCATGTTCAAATCTTTCTCTTTCCAAATTAAGTTTCTCTTTTTCCTTTGCCAACTCCTCTTTTATCATCTTCAGCAGGACCTCCAGGTAACTTTCCTGGGTAGCTGTGGAGTACAAAAAGGGGATGATTATTACCAGGCAAGCTGAACACCAGTACTGTCTGCTGCTGCTGCGGGGGAGAATGAGTGAAAGTGGACTAGCAGACATCCGTGAGGATGTTCAAACGTGGAGCTGTGTCAGGGCACGCTGGCTTCAGAGGGAGAAGGAAAGCTTGATTCCACACTTAAAACCAGGAAGGAGAAAATAGAATGGTGTCAGGCCCAACTGCCAAAATGTTGTGCTCCTCCTTTCTATTGTGGAATTACTTTACTCATTCCCCTTTTTACCTGAAGGAGTGCAGGAAGGTAGGGCAGGTAAGAGGGTGGTATAAATGAATGACTGGTTGCCAGCTGTGAGTCAAGGTCAAAGTCAAAGTCAAATTTATTGCCAAACCAACCCTTCAGGAGTATTGTTTTGGTGCACTTGAAATAACTGAGATCCAAAAAAAAGACAGATACAAGAAGAGAAAGAAAAATCCTAAATAAAATACACATATTAAGCGAAGGAGTGCTGAAAGAAGTCAGATAGCTGGAAATGTATCCCTAATTGTACATAAGTCTTTGAAAATTTGTATTTTGTAACTATTCTGTAGCGGTACCTTCAGTGCATTGTGAAACTCTCAGGTTTGGACACAGTATTACTGGAGAATAATTTCTCCATGTAAATATTGGGAAGGTGAAAACCATCTGAGTTGCCTCTGAAACAGCTGCAGTAAATACAATTGTATTCCTGTGTATTCATTTTCACCACCACATTACCTACATTAAATAACATTAGGGTGTCATAATCAGACACCAAAATCACAAGGAAGAGTTCCCCTGCATTTAAATAATTCAAGCAGAAATAAATGTATATTAAAATATAAATACATATGACGTGGTAATCTTCCCTTCCACTTTGTAAGGATGTTTTGATTTAACCCTCTCAGAAGATGGATATACAGTAATATATACCCAGTGAGTATAGTTCCGTGTGGCATGTAAATGATTAGCTAACACCAAGGAAGGAGATACCAGGTGCTTCCTGTACATTGATTCAGCTGCTGGAAATGCAATATCCCTCTGTACATTATATACAGTATATATGTATATTATGTATATAATATTTAGAACAAAACATAATAATTAAATTAAATGCAGTATGATTTTCTTCATGATACTGGTGTAAAGCAAAATTAAACACAAATTCACCCATTCATACAGGTGAATATATGAATATATTCCTAATTATCCTTATTATAACCAAATTATCCTTATAAGCTGATCTCACTTATAATTCTCCATGATGTCAATTCCCTGAATGCTATACAAGATCCTCTCTTCCTCTCCCTTATTTTCTTTTGAATCCCTCAACCACCTCTGCAGCTCCCCGGGGGTTAATTTCACTCTGCAGGGGGTCCAGCCAGTTGATGGACCAAAACCAAAAAGCACATTAATTTAATAATTAACGATTAATTAGATTAGATAATTACATTAAATTTAGAAAGACTAGACAGTGAAGGGCAGAACTCGCCTTTTTCACATGCTGGAGGATTAGTGGACCAGCCATTAACTCCACAGGTAATAGTCCTAGTGCCAATCAGTGTGTATCCAGGATTACATTCAAAGGTCATAAAACTTTTGTATCCGGAGGGTGGCAGTCGCTCTGAGACCTTTCTACCATTTGTAATGATTACATCAGGGTATGAAACAACTAAGATAAAAAAAACTTGAATATCACACCCGCTGTTCATAAGAGTGGAGCTTACTGCGCTACCGTCCGTCACAAAGTTACAGAAAGTAGTTTCGGCTACAGTCCCTAGATGGCAGCAGAATCCATCTACTCCATTATTCTTGAAAAGGCACTGAAATGTCTGGTTTGTTAATGAAATAAAGATTAAGGTCATTGTCAAACACAAATTGTTTCAAAATGGCACAGGTCCACATTTTTCAAACGAAAAGATAATGGTTGGAAAACATGAAAAACTGATCATTTTTTTTCGCATTCTGCAGAAGGCTTCTGGTGATTACTTCTCTAGATTCAATGAACAATACTTAATGTGCATTGTGCTTCTGTTGGATCCCAGAATCTCATGTTAATTATTGAGCAAGGGTAAAGCAGACCCTTGCTGTGAGGTGCACTATGTGAGGTGCACTGTTTGTCCGTGTGCTGATGTCTGTTACACCCAGGTGTATCTCTCAGTGTAAAACATGTATAAACTACATTTACTGTATCATGTCCGGCCTGCAGTGAGTGTTAGCCTGTACTTTAAAAGCTATATAATGACCAATGAAATTCACCTATGTGTAAAACAGATACACAATATCACAGCAAAACACAAGATACATCATTATACATTTCTCAAACTACAATGATTATACATTAATAAACATTAACTTACCCACAGTTTAAACTAAACTGGTGACCAAACTTCATATGAATTGTATCATCCAATAAAAATTATATTCTTATTACTGATTAGAATCAAAGAAGAAAAATTCACAACTTAAAAATACATGTCATACCGTACCTTTACACTGAGGAGGTGATGGGTGATAATTTCCATCTTTACAACGCAAACGTTGATTAGAGTGTTCATCTACACTTTGTGAGTGACTGGACCCTTTGTTGTTGCACCACACAAATTAAAAATTCCACCCCCAGTGAGACTCAGACACATTGGGTCCTTATAAGTATAACCTTAAAACTTGATTTTTTGCAACCTCCATTTTCTTGGCTTTATAGTTTTCATCAATTTCATTGTGGAAATAACCCTTTATTGAATATCTGCCTCTACCGTCAAATCACAAAAAAGTATTTTGAAATCATGTCAGCACTTTCCATTACACACCTTACATAAAGGAACATCACCTTTACAGTGGATCTGAACCCAATTCTTCTTTATCTCCATTTAGCAGGACCAACCAGCAAAGGAGAGAACTCACCTCTGTAACATGTTGGAGGTTCAGAGGACCAGCCATTGACTCCACAGGTAATGGTCAAGGTGCCATTCACTTTGTGGCCAGAATCACATTCAAAGGTAATAAAACTTTTGTATCCATAGGGTGGCAGTCATCCTGATACTTTTTTGCCATTTGTAATGGATACATCAGGGCATGAAACAACTGTAAGATAAAAAAGTAGTTTTAGCTACAGTCCCTAGATGGCAGCACAATCCATTTGCTGTATTATTTCTAAATAGGTACTGAAATGCCTGATTTACTAATGAAACAAAATGGCACTGTTGTGCCATAGCTAAACTCTGTAGAAAAATATCTGACTAAAAACCATGAAAGGGGGAACGGTTCTGCTTTCTGCAGAAGGCTTCTGGTGATGACTTCTCTACTTTCAATGAATAACACTTAATGGGCATTGTGCTTCTGTTGAATCCCAGAATCACAGGGAGTAATGAGCAGGAGTAAAGTTTAAGGTAAAGCTGGGTGAGGTGCACTGCCTGTCCATATGCTGTTGCTGTCGGCAAGACCCAGGTGTATCTCAATCAATCGGGGGGGGGGGATCACAAAATTAAAGTTACAAAATAAGGTTACATAATACCATGTAGCCATTACAGGTGATTTGCAGAAGGAACTGCAGCTTGGCTATTTAGCAGTCTAATTGCCTGGAGGTAGAAGCTGTTCCATAATCTGTTAGTGTTTGACTGAATGCTTCAATACTGTTTGGTAGGATGGTAGGAGAGAAAACAGGTTGTGACTGGGATCCTTGAGAATGGACCTGGACTTCTTAAGACATCTAGCTGAGTAGATATCCTGGATGTATGGTAGCTCACAGCTGGTAATGAGCTGCGCTGACTTCACCACCCTCTGCAGTACTTTGCAATCCCGGGTGGAGCAGTTCCCATACCAGGCATTGATGCAACCAGTCAGGATGCTCTCCATAGTGCACCTGTAGATGTTGGCCTGGATATGCGATGGCATGCCAAACATCTTTAGCCTTCAGAGTTTAAACCAGAATTGTTAGCTCCGATTCAAATAAAGTTATAAATTATCAACGTTACAGAAAAAGAAACTTCCACAAATGTAGCAGAACAGCTCAATTTGCAAAAACAAAAACACTGTGGGACTCTACTGACCAACACAGGTAAATAGGAATTATTGCATCTAACTCCAGGTAAGAGATTTATGTCAAATATAGACCAAGAATCATATCAGCCACCCAAAGCACTCAAATTCCTTAGTGGCCGCTTAAAAACCCTCAGTAACCCTTTGTTTCTCCAGAAAACAGGGTTTGCAAATTCTACAACACAGGCTGTGTAATGCTCTGCATATCTGACTAATATCGTATATACCTTTTACTCACTGTGACATTTCACTTACATTTTCCTTTAATTTTCCAAATTATCCCAACCTTTCAGGATTGCAATTGCACAACCATATCCCCTTTGTGGGAACAGTAACAACTACAAAAAGAGAAACATTCTATTTTTACTACAAAGTTGAATTCAGTGGCTTCCTTCCTGTCTGGTGTTCTAAGCCAAACAGGAGAAGTGTGCTGTAGGTAAATCAAGATACACGCTAACCAAAACCCTTTATCTAAAAGTATATGAATGTCCATGACTAAAAAATTAGGCTCAGCTTGCTTGTCTTCTCAATCCTGTATAGATTCACTTTACATCCCATTGTGTAAAGCAAAGATGTTATAAAAAAGTCATAGAAACGTACCTGGATGGGAGAGCTCCTCGGAAAAACTAAGGTTGCTGCTGGAAGAGGTGTTAGTGGGGCCAGCAGGGGGCGCTCACCCTGTGGGTCCTAATGCCCCAGTATAGTGACGGGGACACTATACTGTAAACAGGCGCCGTCCTTCGGATGAGACGTAAAACCAAAGTCCTGACTCTCTTTGGTCATTAAAAATCCCAGGCGCGTCTCAAAAAGAGTATGGGTGTAACCCTGGCGTCCTGGACAAATTTCTCATTGGCCCTTACCAATCATGGCCTCCTGATAATCCCCATCTATGAATTGGCTTCATTTCTCTGCTCTCCTCCCCACTGATAGGTGATGTGTGGTGAGCGTTCTGGCGCACTATGGCTGCCGTCGAATCATCCAGGTGGGGCTGCACATTGGTGGTGGTGGAGGGGAGTCCCCAGTACCTGTAAAAGCGCTTTGAGTGGAGTCTCCAGAAAAGCACTATATAAGTGTAAGCAATTATTATTATTATAATTGGAGATAAACCAGTGCAAATAATTTGGTGGCCTCAAAAGTATTTGGTTCTATGAAAAGTATTTGACCCTTTTAGAGACAAAGTTTATCTTATTTACCCTCACAAAGAGGAACGTCCGAACTCCAGCCATCAGCGAAGCAAAGTCTTTCTCTGCCCACCAACTGGTACCTAGAGACAGTGCAAAAGATCACATTTTTATCTTAAACACATTCAGGACAACCTCCACGGCCCTGATTTCCCAAAGGCTGCCCAATCACAATCCACAGGCTGTGTTAATATAGACTATTGTATCCTAGGAGCTCCCGAGTGGCTCAAGGGCCTCGAGCCTGCTCACTTTGCCGGCGGACCGATACCCGAGGCTCGAGCCTGCTCACTTTGCCGGCGGACCGAGACCCGAGGCTCGAGCCTGCTCACGCTGCTGGCGGACCGGGACCCGAGGCTCCAGCCTGCTCAC